ACGGACGAAATTTTCGGCCTCTAGGAATGCTTATCCCAGAAATTTGTTACCCTCACGTTATAGTGCTTTCCAAAAGCTATTCATTTGGGCAGCGTCTATAATCCCTAGCCATAAAGAACAACCGTGGCAATATGTCGGAAAGTGGGTGTCCCCAATGGGTATTTTATCGAATTTGGCATTTTTCTATGGTTCTGACGAAATTTTCGGCCTTTAAGAATGCTTACCCCAGAAATTCTTTACCCTCCCGTTGTAGTACTATCCAATATCTTTTCATAAGGGCAGCGTCTATAATGCCTAGCCATAAGGAACAACCGTAACTATGGGTCGGAAAGTGGGTGTAACTCTATGGTGTTTGAGAAATAAAGAATCTTGAAATCTTGAGCGAGAAACGTTTGCTAGACTGAAGTATAAGGTGAAAATACAAACATGCATTTTTATTACACTATCAGTTATGAATGCTTGTTCAACATATCCGTTGGAAAAAATTTCATAAAAATATTCTATTGTATGATTTACTTTTATTACTATAATCATATCAGAAATTCCTAAAATATAAATCGTACATTTGAATTTAAAAATTTGCACGGCCGATCACTTTACTTTCTTAATTATTTGTTGGTTAATAGCTAAACAAAATAGTCGTCGATGCGCTTTAAACCACGTTATAAGATGATTAACCAACAAGACTTAAAATGAGATTAATTCCACTCCCGGCATGCCATTAAGACTAAAACTAGGTCTCAGTAGTCAGTTCGAATAAATATAATTAATAATTCCCGATTTTCTTGTTTATTAGTGTTCATATCCAGATAAAATTCGGTGAATATGTTTTTATGGTATTATGAACATAATAAGATGATAAGTAAAAAATCTCGAATTTTCACTCTAAAGGGAAACTCTGCAAAAACTGAAAAAATGTTATTATGTTCTTTTAGCAAAAAAGAATCACATCTCCATCAATATTAAAGTTTTATTCTCCATGTAAGGAGTTCAAAATCGATTTCTGAAATTAACTATTAGTTCTCGACAATTCGCCATCTTGCCGGCATGCCTGATCTTAAAAGTAACGTGATATCTATAAACCACAAAGTACAAAAAGAATCGAGGATTTAACGACCGTTATTTAAAAACTCCCATCATCAATCGGGGAATTTGGCAGTCGTCATTCAGTGTCAAAATGTCTTGTCAAGCGTACGGTTGTTCTGTCCGACAAGGTCATGACAAAAGTCTACATAGTTCTCCAGATCCCACAAAAAAGAAAGAATTATATCAGACATGATTGTGCAACCTTAACCTAGAATCAATTAGTTTCGTCTATAGCGAGCACAAGTTGGTATATGAAGATCATTTTGAGAAATCTTGTTTCGAGGGAAATTTGATGGTAATTATATCTTTTTAATAACAAAATAACCTAGCAGTTCTGATAGCTATTGTTATCATACCCTTATATGATGAAATCACGTTTATTAAAAGAAAAATGTAAATTGGATGAGGAAGTAAAGTTTCAATCATAAGAAAGGCAAATCCAGTGCTCGTGTAACAGTCACTGATTTACAAAAGATTCATTAGTATGTCTCTGTAGATAAAGTGCATTGGTTTATATAAAGAATAGTTCTGTATTAAGACAAGATAATTTTTAAATTAATAAAGTTATACGATAAATTACATTTGTTTTTATTATGATATTTAACAGCTATTGACAAGGAGCAATGTTAGGAAGAGGTTTTAGCTGGGACATACTATGTTTATTTAGTACAATATTCCCAGGATATAGATATGTCAATATCGGATTATCGGACATCTCAACTCTTTTTCATAGATGATGTGTTTTCTTAAAAGTGTATTTTTTTTATAACTAAGCTTTACATGCTATTAAATTGATACGGGATCAATTTAGAATTTATAAGTTATTGTCTGACAACTAGAAAAATGCTTGTTTTAGACCCTTGTTGGCCAATACTTCCTGAAATTTTGGGAAATTACCCCCAAAATGAATCCCAACCTTCAACTTGTGGTATTGGACCTTGTGGTACAATTTCAGAGCAATCAAAATACTTATACATAAGTTATTGTCCTTCAACAAGAAAAATACTTGTTTGGGCTCTTTTTTGTCCCCTTATTCCTAAACGGTTGGGACAATCACCAGTGGCGGATCTAGAAATTTTTGTAAGAAGGGCCCACTGAATTTTTTTTTGCGGTTGTATGAAAATGACGTAGGTTAGGTATTGACAACAGAGACTGCATAGATATGCTACTAATAGAAATAGTAATGTGCGATATGAACAGGTACATTTTTAAAATTTCAGCAGTTCAGTGATAAAAAATGATTTCGAAACCGGTGAAGTAATTGTGTAAGCGTTGTTGTTCGGTTTTAATTGTATAAATTTAAACTTGTTATAGTTGAATCAGAATAGATTGATATGATTTTTTTCAATTTACATCATAATCATACTGATGAAGGATATCTATTATCTGAAATATTCATAGATAATTACATGTAATCACGGTTTCTTTTTTTCAATATTGGTGTTGTTTTGTACGTTTTTTTTTAGGTGTTTATTTAATTTATTTATTGTGTACATGTATTGTTACTCGTAACGATCCAACGCCATCGTAAGAAAGATCGTTAACTAATATTTCGACTTTTAATGTATATAGTACGTCTAAAACAATTGACAACTCTACGATAAATCCATCCATTGGATCACCAGTGAAGGTGATACTCGGCTGAAAATACATTTTATATTCATAATTACTCTCAATATCAGCACAACAATGTTAAATCTGAAAATTTGCGAAATCCAATTTTTGTTCTTCCCTCGCCGGGATTCGAACTCGTGCTATTTGAATATCGAGACAACAGCACCTGCACTGTGTTCTTCGCTCAAGACCACACGACTGAACTATTATAATTTAGCTGTCGGTGGCCTAGTGTTACCTTTCCTCGTCAGTAGAATATAGAGTTGTAACACAGTTCTTGCTATAGATGGCATGAAGATTATATATACATATTTTAAATAATCTTATTAAGGTAGCACTACAGTCTAACAATGATTTTTTGAAGATTTTTATTTATCACATAATTTTGAAGTAAGTATTATTCTGCACATTTTGTAAAAATCCAAAAGTCATTATCATATCACAACAGGGAGTTAATTGATAATGAACTTCTGTAAATAAAAGCACATGGTTATTAATCTAAATATATAGGCATTTGGGAGGGGATAATATATCAGTCATCTGTTGATACCAGTGTCCAGCTGTTAATCATTGATCACAAGATAAGTACTGTGGTCTTATCTCATTGTATTGCAACAAAAGTAATTTATATAACATGAAAGTAAACAGAGAAAAAGAAAAAGATATAAAAAGGAAAAAATCTAAAGGGAAAAAATCTACCAAAATGAAAAAAAATTTGAATAAGAGTGTGAAAGTATCTTTGAAAGCCTCTGACTGCCTGTATAAATTTCTTCTCTTTGGTCTTCTATTTTTAAACGATGAGCGTGTCTTCTGTTAGGAGTTTTAGGCATTTTATCCAATTTTAATTTTGTGAAATTTTTCATAAAACTCAAATAGACTGTCTGGACAGATGCGGAGCTTTGTCTATATTTAATTACTACATCACAGATGTTGGTCAAATCTGTGACGTTAAACTCCCGCCAAATGCCAAGTTAGTGTTTGGCAGTGCACATACAATGCAAAATTTACAGCATTAGAGCATCATAGACAAAAAGTGTGTGGTTCTATTGATAAAGTAATGGTGTCAGAACACCCCTAGGGTGTTCCAAGTGGAATTTTTGTATTTATGTTGCATTTATAGGGGTTCTTAGGGGGAAATTCAGTTTTTAGGTCATTTCTCGAAACAATTTTTCATGAAAACTGTTAGGAAAAAAATGAAAATGGAAACTTTATTGGTACCCCTTTTGGTTTGACTTTGATATATGTGATTAAAGGGAGTGTCGTAGTTTTTGGATAATTTATTTTAAATGAATATTTAGGTCTCCAAAAATGAAAGGTGAAATGAGGTTTGGCACCCAGCAGTTAAATCAATATATCTTCTTATTGGAGACATATATCAAAAATCTGAGACAAGGTTTTGTAGCTTGTGTATGCTTGAATAAAGGGATGAAAATAAATTTTAACAACCATTTGACCTGAATGTGCCATTTTCATCCAAGTTCGAAGACCACTTTTTGGCAATTAATGAGCTATATTTTGAGATTAATCATACAAAAAATAAATTTATCTATAGATTAAGAAAGAGTAATATTGCCGCTTTAAAATGAGTTAAAGATTTTAAAAATCCATAGAGTAGTTTTGGAGAAATTAATCTTTAAAGACTGTTTGTTTGTAGCTGCTCATCTGTGATTTACAAAAAAAAAAAGAAAAATAATAACGGAAAACGTCACATTCTGGCATTGACATCAGCAAGAGTTACAGGTGTACAGAAATGCGTTCACCCGGCCGGTTCTTCTTAAGTCTTAGAAAAAGATCCGTACGGGTGGGGTCTGTTTGGATACAGTTACTAGTACAACCATGACAACCAGACTTATGATATACATTAGATTCTATCTTTGGTGCTCGGATAGTGCCACACACTTTACATCTTTTATTTGCGAAAAACCCCTTACAACAACTACTTTGGTTCTCAAATGTCCCCTTTCTAGGCAGATTCTGTCCCTACCAAGCATACCATTTTATCGCTGACATTCCAATTCGATTCGTGTCTTTCCGGAGTATCCTTGACATATTGGACGTTGGGTATATTAAAACAGTTGTAAGTTAATTTTAGCAGTTCTATGGTGAGATGAAAATCTCGATTATTAATTTTCAGACTTAGATCTTGTGATCATCTAAGTTAATAGTACTCCAGTACTTTAATTATAAAGTACAATAAGTAATAATGTTCTAGAAGAGAATAGCGATAAATTTGTGCTTTTTTTTAAAGAGAAAATATCTCTCTCCTGATGGCAACATCATTATAAAAATTAACGTCAACATATTTTTTTCTAAGTTTATTAGAAAGGTATGATTTTTTTTCTGTACAATCTGTCATGAAGGGTAGTAGTTTCCAAAGTTAATTATCAAACAAAGCTTTCACAGTGCTGATTCCTCTAAATCTGTTTCATCATTCATAGATACTGTATTAGGATCTGCTGTGGACATCTGTCTGTCAAAGACATCATCTGGAGATGTACCACCAGATGGTGCTGGTAGTTCACTTTGTTGATCAACTGGAGCCCATCGAGCATCATCACTGGACAATGCTTGTGGCATGGAAGCATCATATCCAGAGGATCCTAGTTTAGATGGTGAATCAATTCTCGAAGATTTCCAGCCACGTTTTGACATGCCTTTTATTTCAGCAGACAGATCGGACATTTTAGATGGACGTGGAGCAATTTTGGAACCAGAAGATGTGATTAGAGGTTCAAATGAAGACATCAAATGACATTCCTCCATTTTCGAATCATCTTTTGGAGAAAATTCCTACAACAATAAACTCACATTTCTTTTTTTGTAAGACTATTAGTGTATATCTATAAGAACTATGCTGGAAATTTGTTATCTCCTAAAATAATCTTTGACGAAAATAAATTAGATCTGTGCACTCATGTTAATCAGTTTGAATCTGAAGAATGCAAAAAACAAGAGTGCATCCGCTGGAATGTCTCGCTAGCTTTACTGACCATTGATTTTATGTTAATAGTTCTAACTAAATATAAAGTTTAACTAAAAGTAAAATTTGCACTTTAACAATTTTTTTGCAGAATTTATCTTTGTTTCAAATAAAGAAATACTTGGCAGGAGTAAAGTTTTATTCTGTCCAGTACTACAAACAAAATTTCACATGACATTTCATTTCATATAAGAAAATAACCATCACTGGAAGTTAACCAATCAAATTTTTCACCTCTTTTTCATCTGTGTACAGGCTTTAATAACCATGTAAACTCAAGTTTTCAAAATATTCTATAGAAACACCAAATAAGAAAAATAATGGTGCTTTGAAACACCCAAGATATATATTTATGAAACCAGAAATTTTTTACTGCAATGAAATGTAGGATTATTTTCCTACAGCTGCAAAGTTCAGGGGAATATTTTTTCGACCCTTTTTCGTATGCAACCGGATGTGACATACTATGAATTGGTGGTATTACACCTTTACTAAAATATAGAAAAGGGTCTCATTGCCTTATACTATATATTTTTTTTATTCATACTTATAACCCCGTATCTTTTGTTAATCATTTGAGAAAGTGTTGATGATAAAACTATAAAAAAAATGTCTTCAGTCATTCAAATAAAAAGTTCAAAAAGTTCCCAAACTTAAACTTACGAGGTTATCTGAAATTTGATCTGGACCTACAAAATATGTTAATAATGAAAATATAAGAATTCATAGTAATGCAGAAAGCATTTCACAGTTCTAGTAATGATACTACAATATGGGTATATTTTTACCAAAGTACTGCATAAAAAAAAGAAACTTGAATTTTTACGGACTTTGAATCAAATTTATGACTATCCACTATCAAAGTATACCATTAAAACATGTACATGTATAATGCCAAACCTGGTTACTGTTAATAACACATGAAAGTAATTGATCAATTGCAATACAAAACAAAACAAAACAAAATTGGAATTCAATCAACAAAAAACAAAGTACATGATTCAACATGTTCAATATGAAATATAAGCCTAGCTCAGTGTAGAACATGCATATTATGCTTTTGAAAATCTAGTAACATAATATTTCGAGATTCAAAAATATTTGTATATAACCCCAAACAAAAAAAATTGAGGAACAAATCATGGTAACAAATGATAAACAAATCGTATGATTTCTTTGTGATTTGAAAGTGATAAAATTTCACATGCAAATGAGCTAACAAATCACAATAACAAATCACGAACAAATTGCTTACAATTCATAAGCAAATCATAAACAAATTGTGAAGAAATTGTTTTGAAATCATTAACAAATCAGAAGTAATTGCTTTCCTACTTCAAGCAAATCACAAACAAATTGTTTTCAAATCGTAAAGAAATTGTAAAGAAATTGTTATCAAATCTTTAACAAATCAGAAGTAAATCATATTCCTACCTCAAGCAAATCATAAACAAATTGTTTTCAAATATGAAGAAATTATTAACAAATTGTTATCAAATCTTTAACAAATCAGAAGAAAATCATATATTCCTACCCCAAGCAAATCACAAGCAAATCGTAAATAAATTGGCATCAATCATGAATTCACAGATTAAATCATTTACATCCAGATCAAAAATAAGTTCTGCCCCTGAAAATCCCAAACTTTGAAGCGCAATTGTCTTCATTTTACCTTTAATAGCTACTCCTCTAATTGTAAAAATGAATACTATCTTTGGTTGCGATGAGGGACGAATTGTTCCCTCTGTGTAGGTTTCTCTTACTTTTCTCCCGAATTTGACTATAACGAAATTTGAAAAAAAAACATAGGCAACCACGTGTACTTAGTAGAATGATGTCGAATAGGTGATGGGTCTTAGTCTTGGTCCAAATCTGCTACATTGTATTATAGCTTTGTCCATTTTGCCCGGGACCTGGTCAGTAAACAACAATTAAAACATTGAACTTGCCAGTGAATTTTGTCTGCTGGCACGGGAAGCTAGTCTTGAAATGAATGTTTTGATCTGTTTACACATCTTTTACACATTTTTTTTTTGAAAATTAATCCTTACAGCACAAAAATATCATGATTATAACGAGATACTGAAATGCACAGTTTCTGAATTTTAAAGGTTAATTAACGTTTGAATAGTATTAGTTGAATATGTGAAATTATAAATAAATAACTGAGATTCCTTACCACCATCATCTTTCATAGACTGAATAAAACTCTTCATCTTGCAACCTTCTTTGTTCAGTTATTATAGAACAGTATTTGAAATTTGAATTTGACCTCAACCGGAAGTCAGAGAGATAGATAAACAAAGAAAATTTGAATGCATTAATATTTTATTCATTGTAGCAAATCATCAATGAATCACACCAAGATAGCTAACAAAGTTAACAAATCATTTTCAAATCATTTTATATGATTTTCAAAGTTAACAAATCATAACGAAATTACACCATTCTAGCTAACAAAGTTAACAAATCTCTTTCAAATCATTTCATACGATATTCTAAGTAAACAAATCATAAAGAAATCACACAAAAACAGAAACAAATTGCTTACAAATCATACAATAGAAAGAAATCACAAAGAAATCAGTTTTAGCGAATTTGGAAAATTCTGATTTGTTTATGATTTGTTTAATGAATCGCAAGCAAATGGTACTAACAAATCACAGAATCATGATTTGAAAGAGATTTGAATACGATTTGAAAGCAATTTGTTCATTTATTTTTCTGTTTGGGACATGAAACTAAGGTTGTTTTTTTGCAAATACTACAATTTTTTACATTTAATTTAACTAATACAGATGTTTGTATGTTACATATATAAGTATAATATACATACCTAATATATCTGTTGGTAACAATCTGTCAGATTCATCCATGGAATCTTCGTGAGAATCAGTAGATCCAAATGAGTATTTTCTGAAACTAAATAATTTAATTTATTTCATCTGACACATTTCTTTAACTGAATACCCTTATGATGATTGTGGCCAAGTTTGGCTGAATTCGTCTATGTAGTTTCAGGGGAGAAGATCTTTGTAAAAGATTACAAAAATTTACGAAAAATTGTTAAAAATTGACTATAAAAGGCAATAACTCCTTAAGGGGTCAATTTACCATTTTGGTCACGATTACTTATTTGTAGATCATACTTTGTTGCACATTATGTTAACATTTGATCTATATCTATAACAATATTGAAGATAATAACCAGAAACTGTAAAATTTTCTTAAAATTGAAGTGGCAGCAACCAATCAAAGGGTTCTGGTTTGTCTGAAAATATCAGGGCGGATAGATCTCAACATGATGAACATTTTTACCCGATTTTTTTTCAGATTAGCTCTAAATGCTTTAGATTCTTCTTGTAATATTTCATAGAGATCCCTAATTCCTAAACAGTTAGAACATCATTCTGAACATTTTGACTTGTAAGAATTCTTTTTTTTTAGTGGATATCGAGATAAAAAGCCCAACTTGCATTTTACTCCTATGTTTATTATTATCCATGTTGGCCATGTTGTTAGGCAAGGTCATTGGACACACACTTAACCAAATACGGCAATAATCATGGTGGCCAAATTTGGTTAAATTTTGCCTAGAAATTTAATGGAAGCTTATCTTTGATAAAGTTAACTGACGACGAATAATGGCAGATGACAGATGCCAGGTGATGGCAATAGCTCACACATAGTATCAATATTGATTACAAAATAAAGTCCTCACAGTGCTGATGTCTCTAAATCTGTTCCATCATTCATTGATACTGTAGCAGGATCTGGTGTGGACATTTGTCTGTCAACGACATTATTTGGAGATTTACTACCAGATGTTGATGATAGTCCACTTGGTTGATCAGCTGGCTTAGGTGATGAATCAGAATCAGACATGACCTTGATATCAATAGCTTCGGATGGATGTGGAGCAATTTTAGGATCAGAAGTTGTGTTCAGAGGTTCAAATGATGACAACATTGGAATTTTCTCAATTGTGCATTCCTATAGTAATAAAACAACATTTCTATTTTTATGTTAGTGATCATATAAGTATAGTATAATAAATTATTTCAGAAATCTGAGTGATGTACTCATGGTAATCATAATCATGATAATCAGCTGGAAACAAAAGAAATTAAAATAAAAACAACACCAAAACTAGACAGAGTGATGCCCATGCGCTCCACACTGACGTATCATACGTATTATAACAAAATTAGTGTGGGACTTTCTTTGAGATATTATAATGTCTGAGAGACTCAAGACACAAATGGTGCTCCCTCAGATGCAAAATGTTATTTTAAAACACACAAAATTGAGCATGGTTCATGGTTCACTATATAGGTAGTTATCCGGAAACGCTATGCACCTGTTATGCAATTATATACTCCAAAAATGACAAAAGAGCAAATATTAATAAACTTCAAAACCCTGACCACATGCACACCTTCAATATATGTACAAACAGCCAGCAAAGTGAAAACTCCCTAGCATTCAAACTGAAGGAGGAGTTATCTGGAATAACTATATACCCATAATGAGACGGACGGACGTGCAGATGGACAGACAGGGGTTAAACAATATGCCTCAAACTTTCAGAAAATCATTTTCACTAGGGGTAATTAATGCGAGAAGTTAAAATTTGACACCTAAGTAACAGTGCTGCATAATTACATATTGAATAATTAAAATAAACAGGCAGTTTTTTAGCAATGGATGTTAATACATATATAGATAGGGGCCGCGAAAATATAAGTATTTGATTAATATGAAGTTTAAAAGCAATGGACGTGAAAACGCAACAAACAAATGCTCGCATAAATCTGGAGACCAAATTTGCATTGGTATGTAATTGTTAATATTTTATATTATGTATATCAATAAATGAAATAATCCCGATGTAGATTTCATTCCTTCAAATTACATCTATTGTGGTCAAAATTGGCCTCATGGTTAATGTACATAAGATCCAAAACAAAATATCACAAAAAATGACATGATTTTAAATTGTTTTACATTTGACATTTCGGGGTCTTTTGTAGCTGACTATGAGGTATGGCCTTTCCTTATTGTTGAAGGCCGTACAGTGACCTATAGTTGTTAATTTCTGTGTCATTTGGTCTCTTATGGAGAGTTGTCTCATTGGGAATCATACCACATCTTCTTTTTTATATATTCATTAGTACAAGGAGATATTCAAACAACTCTCTAGTTTTTCTTTACTAAAATATAATCTAGAGGCTCTCAAGAGCCTGTGTCGCTCACCTGTATTTACTGATGCTTTGGAAATCATGTAAAATAAGGTTAAAATCATAATTAATAGTATTAGATATTAGATATTATAATGATATCTAAGATAATAACAAAAAACTGCAAAATTTCTGTAAATTTACTAACTCAGGGGTAGCAACCCAACAACAGGTTGTCTGATTCATCTGAAAATTTCAGGGCAGATAAATCTAAATCTGATGAACATTTTTGCCACCTGTCATATTTGCTCTAAATGCTTTAGTTTCAGAGATATAAACCAAAAACTGCATTTTACCCCTATGTTCTATTTTTAACCATGTCGGGCATGATGGTTGGAAAGCGAGTTCATGGGACAATTCTTTAAACTAAATATCCTAATAATGATTAAGACCAAGTATGGTTAAATTTGCCTCAGTATTTTCAGAGAAGAAGATTTTTGTAAAAGATTACAAAAATTTACGAAAAATTGTTAAAAATTGACTATAAAGGGCAATAACTCCTAAAGGGGTCGAATGACAATTTTGGTCATGACGACTTATTTGTAGATCTCACTTTGCTGAACATTATTGCTGTTTACAGTTTATATCTATCTATAATAATATTCAAGATAATAACCAAAAACTGCAAAATTTCCTTAAAATTACCAATTCAGGGGCAGCAACCCAAAAAAGGGTTGTCAGATTTGTCTGAAAATTTCAGGGCTGATAGATCTTGACCTGATAATCAGTTTTACCCAATGTCAGATTTACTCTAAATGCTTTGGTTTCAGAGATATAAGCCAAAATCTACATTTTACCCCTATGTTCTATTTTTAGCCATGGCGGCCATCTTGGTTTGGTTGGCGGGGTCATCGGACACATTTTTGTCGAAAAAGCGAGACATAGCGATCCTACATTCCGTCGGCGTCGTCGTTGTCGTCGGCGGCGTCCACAAATATTCACTCTGTGGTTAAAGTTTTTCAAATTTTAATAACTTTCTTAAACTATCCTGAATTTCTACCAAACTTGGACAGAAGCTTGTTTATGATCATAAGATTATATTCAAAAGTAAATTTTGTAAAAAAAAAATCCCATTTTTTCCGTATTTTACTTATAAATGGACTTAGTTTTTCTGCCAGGAAACATTACATTCACTCTGTGGTTAAAGTTTTTCAAATTTTAATAACTTTCTTAAACTATCCTGGATTTCTACCAAACTAGGAAAGAAGCTTGTTTATGATCATAAGATAGTATCCAGAAGTAAATTTTGTAAAAAAAAAATTCCATTTTTTCCGTATTTTACTTATAAATGGACTTAGTTTTTCTGCCAGTTAACATTACATTTTCTCTGTGGTTAAAGTTGTTAAAATTTTAACAACTTTCTTAAACTATCCTGGATTTGTACCACACTTGGACAGAAGCTTGTTTATGATCAAAAGCTAGTATCTAGAAGGAAATTTTGATAAAATTTTGTTCCATTTTTTCCGTATTTTACTTATAAATGGACTTAGTTTTTCTTCCAGTCAACATTACATACAGTCTGCAGTTTAAGGTTTTAAAACATTTATTAGATTCATAAATTATCCTGGATTTTTACCAAACTTGGACAGAAGCTACTTACATTCAAATGATTGTATAGAGAGGAATATTTTTATTAATTTTTTTTCTCATTTTTGTTGAGCCTGCGATTAACAGCAAAAGTAGGCGAGACACTGGTTTCCACGGAACCCTTACAAATTTTTTAAACTAGATACCCTAATGATGATTGTGGCCAAGTATGGTTAAATTTAGTCCAGTGGTTTCAGAGGAGAAGATTTTTGTAAAAGCTAACGACGACGACGACAGACGACGTACGACGGACGACAGACGCCAAGTGATGAGAAGAATTGATGCTAAAACTATGAAAAAAAATCTACAGTATTTAAAAAAAAAGTTATGAAACTTACCATGTTATCTAAAATTTGATCTGGATCTACAAAATATGCAAAATAATAAAGAACATAAAAATTTTGTTTAATTGACCTGCAGAAACCATTTAACGGTTCTAGTTACGATACTATTATATTGGTATATATTTGGTTTACTTTTTTACCAAAGTACTGCATAAAAAGGGAACTTGAATTCTTACTGACTTTGAATCATATTTGTGACTATCCACTATCAAAGTATACAATTAAAAACTTATATAATGCCAAACAGCAAAATTCCAAACCTGGTTAATGTTAATAACACATGATACTAATTTATCAATTGTGATAAATATTTATTGGAATCAGCAACTAACAAGTATGTGTTGAAATGCGTCACCTGCTTTTCTTGCCATTGATTTTATGTTGAGAGTCTTCAAGGTTTAACTACAAGTATTACATTAATTTAACATCATTAAAGATCTATGACAATGAGGTCAAGGTCAGATAAATCCTGCTAGGTGGACATGTACACCTTACAATTATTCCCTACACGAAATAACCTATTGCATATGGTAATTGAAAAACAGACCAAAACCGAAAAACTTTACTTTGACCATGAAAATAACGTTAAGGTCTGGTGACATTAAACCTGCAAGACAGACATGTACACATTAAAATATTTCAATACACCAAATATAGCTGACCTATTGCTTATAGTACCTGAAAAGCAGACCAAAACACAAAAACTTAAAACTGACCAATGAACCATGAGAGTGAGTTAAAGGTCAGATGAATCATGTCACACTGACATGTACTCTGTACAATGATTCATTAAACATTTAGTTGACTTACTGCTTATAATATCTGAGAAAAGGACCTTATCACTTTACTTTAACAGTGATCACTAACTGCTTCATGAAATGAGGTCGAGGCCAGGTGAACCCTGAATGAAGGACATGTAGACGTTGCAAAGAACCCATATACCCAATATTGCAATCTTATTACTCATAATAAGTAAGAAATTAACTATAATTGGTTTTTTCTTCAAGCAACATCTGAACCATTGAAAGGGGTCGAGAACAATGGACATATAACAGATAGAAACCTTTTAACATAAGGATTCTGCATTCAAGTTATGAAGCATCCAGGTCTTCTACCTTCTTGAATATAAAGCTTTGTATGAATGGTTGATATACCACCGCCGCCGCCAGTTATAAATTCCTATATTGCGACTTTCAACGCAGGCGAGACAAAAACAAATTTCATGATTCCACATGTTCAATATCAGACATCTAACAACATCAAAGACTTTTCTAAGTGTGCAAATACAATATTTGTTTCCATTTTTATATAACTAATACAGTTACCTACAAATTACACATATAAGTATAATATCATACCAAATATAAGATTTCTAACTAATATTCCATCAGATTCATCGCTGGAATCTTCAAGAGAACCAGCAGATTGTATCGAGTATCTTCTGAAAGAAAAATATTTATATTGTTTCAAAAAATTATATCTTCCATCACAATTTTAGTCACAGAAAAATTTCTGAAATTTTCTTAACATTATTAAATTTCTTTTATGTTTTGTTGCAACATTTAGTGTAAACAGTGTCTCTCACCTCGGTCTCTGTGCATATTCAAAAAAGGACACGCTCCAACATTGTAGACGATAATAGGATTCATGACATAATCTCTGTTTTGTTGTTCTTGTATTGCTGATCATTCAGTTTGTTTAGTTTCTCTCTATCTTCTTAAATTTAGGGTAAACAAAAACCAGAATGTAACATAATACAAGGATACCCTACTCGCACGATCATTTTTTATGTTCGGTGGATCGTGAAATTGGGGTGAAAAATTCCAATTTGGCATTAAAACTTGTAAGATCATATCATAAGGAACATGTGAACTTCAACTTTATTAAAAACTACCTAGACCAAAAACTTTAACCTGAAGCCGGACAGACGAACGGACGAACAAATGGATGCACATACCGAAAAACATTAGGTCCCTCTACTATGGTAGATGGGACATAAAAAAAGTCATCGTATAAGGGCAATCACTACTATAAAGAGTGACAGTCTACTTATTATATCGGTTAAATTTAAGTTGTTAATAGATGTTGCCTTGCTGATCATTTTTGTGATTCTAAGTCTATTTGTCTATCATAATTTTTTATCAAAAAAGGCAAAACGCCAAAAAATGGTAAAAATATCCATCAATAGGCAACAACTCCAATAAGGAGTCGTCGGATGATTTCCTCCGTATTGTTTATATTGGAGACCTTGTCTCGCTTATATAAGTGTCTATCTATCTATCATAATTTGTAAGATATAAGGCAAAAACACAAACAAATGGACGGACAAACGAACGGACGAACAAATGGATGCACATAGCCTTATTTAAATGAAACTACTCATGCAAAAGGAGAATGTTACTTCTACGAATTACAAATAATATCTACCCTCTTTTCTTCTTCAATCTGTAAACTATGCAGGGTACTACAATCACACTGATCAATAACATGCAGATGCTTAGAGCAATCATCCATGGCTGTACCCAACAATATGGATTATCATCAGGGCATGCACACTCAAAATGATTGACGTAGTCATAACACACAAACGGGTCTTGACAAGGAGAGCTTATACATTCGTTAATATTCTCTTCACAATGGATACCAGTCCAACCAGAGGCACATATACAGTTGTAGTTGATATCAAAACTTTCAACAGCCCTTCGGTAGTGTTTACATGGATATGAACTGATATCCTTGGCTGAATTATAAAAACTTGCATTTAAGAACATGCATACATATGATATAAGTTATGTCAATCAGAAAATATAGAAACTGCACTAAAAAAAAATCAACACTCTCCAATGTTTAAGACTAGAAAACTAGTCATGACTAAAAATCTGTTTTTTTGTTGAACCTGTATTACTGATAATTTTTTCTGTATACAGTTTCTTCCTATCATCTATAGTTTTTGCCCAAAACACAAAGAGCGTTAAAACCATCATTTTAGGGCAATAATTGCTGTAGGAAGACAACAGACAAATTTAACTATATGTAAGTTGAAGTTCTATTTGCAGATCTTTCCTGCCGATCATTTTTGCTTTTTATAAAATTCAATTTATCTATTATGGTTTCAAGATAATAGTAATAAAATGTTTCGCAATACACAGCCTGATACGACCGCAAAGGTCAAACCCCGAACAGTTGGGGCAAATTTGGACACAATATTCAAGCTTGATACTGTCTGAATTTGGGTTGTGATCGAATTTTTGACATAATATAGGTTTCTGACACAAAATAAATGTGGTCAAAGATCTTATAAATCCATTGCGCAATACTGTCAATTGAAGATTTCTTCTTGAAACTTTTCAAAAATTCAAAATTTTAAAAATTTTGAAAAAAAAATATGAATCCCTTAAAAAAATTAGGAAAAAAAAAAAATCCCCCCCCCCCCAATTTTTGAAACCCCCCTTGGAGCAATATTCCGCCAATAACCCCAAAACTCAATCCCAGACTTTCCTTTGTAGTATGGAACCTTGTAGTACAATTTCAGAGAGATCCATACACTTACACACAAGTTATTGTCTGGAAACTAGAAAAATGCTTGTTTTTGGTCCTTTTTTGGCCCCTAATTCCTACATGTTTGGGGCAATTAACCCTAAACTCAATCCCAGCCTTTCCTTTGTTATATGGAACCTTGTGGTACAATGTCAGAGAGATCCACACACTTACACACAAGTTATTGTCTGGAAACTAGAAAAATGCTTGTTTTTGGCCCCTTTTTGGCCCTGAATTCCCAAACTGTTGGCCCCATAACCCTTAAATGAATCCCAACCTTCTACTTGTGGTACTAAACATTGTGGTACAATTTCAGAGCAATTGAAATACTTACACACAAGTTATTATCCTGAAACTAGAAAAAATGCTTGTTTTGGGCCCCTTTTTGGGCCCCTTATTCCTAAACGGTTGGGACCATCATCCCTAAAATCAATCCCAATCTTCCTTTTGTGGTATTGAACCTTCTTAAAAAATTTCATAGAGATCCATTCACTTAAACTTAAGTTATTGTCCGGAAACCAATGTGTCTTCGGACGACGACGCAGACGACGCAGACGACGACGACGACGACGACGACGACGACGACATCATACCATTATACGATCCCAAAAATTTTTTTGCGGTCGTATAAAAACAGAAAAAAAAAGGTCATTTATCTAAAGACTCCTATATGGAGTCAACTAACTGACGATTACCACAATTTGGTTTAATAGTAGATCTTGTCTTACTGATTATATTTTGCTTTTTAAATTTTCTGTCTATCTATTATAGTTTTCACGACAGTAGTGAAAAAAACGAAATATAAAATGGTAAAAATAATCATTTAAAGGCAATAACTCTTATAGGTTGCACTTGTAAATACAACTGTTTAACAAACCACTTCTCTTTTGGGGAGAAATTAGTTATTGATAAATATTTTGTTATGATTACCTACTTGTTCCCTAATTAATCTTTATGTTTCATCTCGTAAATATAACTTGAGAATGTTACCAGGTAAAAATACACATAGATAGCGGCGAAATGGAATTCTGAAGAAGACCCTAAGCAGGGAGAAGGTCAGTTCAGAATTTGAGAATAAGTTTAAAACTCTTTGAAGTTCGATGCATATACATGTTGAAAATATGCCATAAAGCCTTATGTTGTGAAGTTTGAAAACAATAGTAGTGCATATAAAATTTCCATTATGGGATATAAAATTTTACAAAACCTCATAGCAACAGTGGCACTGTTTTAGCGCAAAGGGATTTCCTATGGAAAATTGCCTTGTCTATATTTACAGAAGTGCAACATTGGTTATATTTGGTCCAAAAATTTCAGAGGAGATGATCTTTGTAACAGTTAACAGACAACTGACGCCAAGTGATGACAAAACCTCTTACTGGTCCTTTCGCTAAAAAATCAGTTCCATTAAAATCAGGGCTCAATTACGATAATTGCAAAGAAACAGAATGATATTTCCAAGAAATTTTCTAAAAGAGCTAATATTTTCCCAAAAAAATCTATATCCACGAGCAAAAAAAAACATAAAAATTAAAACTGAAATCTTATCTTTAACTTCTTATGATATATCTACAAACCAATTAACTAATCAATTGATACATAAAACAAGTGCCAGTACCAGTAGTTTCAAAACATTTTTTTTATGCAAAATGAAATTATTTAAAAAAATATATAATTATAGCAACAAACAATTTAATTTCAATTTTTTTTTTCCAATCTTCACATATAAATATTAAGTTAAACCTACGATCACATTCCCCTTCATTGCGACATGGTGACTCCATCACCGTGAATTGTATGGTGACTAGATGTGACAAGCCACCATTAGCATCTGAGAAGTATATTTTTGCCACATCATAGCCAGAGAAGGAATAATTCTGTATGTATGTCAACTTCATATAGTTCCATTCATGTTCATGTACAGGCTTCCATAATGAGAGGTCACATGGAAACATCATATCATCCTATAAAATGTAGAAACATGGAGAAATTTGTAAATTTTGAATTTAATATTTATTATATTTGAAATTTCGACAATTGAACATAATGCTGGAGCAATTCATAGTTATATTCAAGTGCAATATTTCTAGTAAAACTTCTTTTTATTAATCATGTTAAATTGTGTCACATTTTCCCCATTCAGGACACATTAAATTAATTTGTAAATACAACACTTCCTATATCATATATATATAGAAAAATATTTTCCAAAAGACCAAAAAAGTGAAAAGTATATTTTAACAAATCGCATTTGACTAACAGGTCGAACAACTGATGTTCTTAAACCCTGCTGACTGCCATAGACGATTGCCAAATAAATTGATCACGAGATGTAACATGGATCTTAGTTATATTAATTTTATACCAAACAGCAAACAATAAACTTGCGGAGAATATGGTATACCACAAACATCAGGTGCAAAAATTTGTACACCATATCCGGATCACTGAAGAGACATTAATTGTCGAAATCCGGAATTGGTGTACAAATTTTTGCACCTAATGTTTGCGGTATATATGCGTCGCCTGCTTTACTGACCATTGATGTTTTGATGACCATAAGCCAGAAATACATGTACACCTTACAATCATTCCATACACCAAATATAGTTTATCTACTAGTATTGTTTATAATTTCTAGGAAACAAACTAAACAATATAAACTTATCATTGACCGATGAACCATGAAAATAAGGTCAAAGGCAAATGAACCCTTCCAGACAGACAGGTACCACTTACAATCATTCCATGCATCAGATATAGTATACTATTGCTTATAGTATCCAAGAAACAAACTGAACCATGAAAATGAGATCAACAAACATGCAAGTTTTCCTTTATCCACGAAAATTGGTACCCACGAAAATAAGTGAATCCACAGTATTGGTTATAGTTTCTAGGAAACAAACTAACCAATATAAACTTATCATTGACCATTGAACCATGAAAATAAGGTCAAAGGCAAATGAACCCTGCCAGACAGAGAGGTACCACTTACAATCATTCCATGCATCAGATATAGTGTACTGTTGCTTATAGTATCCAAGAAAAAAACTGAACCATGAAAATGAGATCAAGGTCAAATATACCTGCCAAAAAAAAAACCAATTTACAATCATTCTATACACAAAATACATTTGACCTATTGCTTATAGTGTAAGTAAAAAACAGACCAAAACACAAAAACTAAACATTGTGCAATGAACTGAGAAAATGAGGTCAAGGTCAAATAAAACTTGCCAGACTGACACACACCATTAACGTTGACTTATTGCATATAGATACGGAAAACAGACCAAAAAACAAAATCTGGAGTCGATTTCACCAAAAAACTTACGATTGAGATTGATCGTAAGTATACTGAATTGTTCATAATTTACGATCAATCTTAGTCTTAAATATTTTTGTGAAACCGACTCCTGAACAACTGAACCATGCAAATGAGGTTAATTTGGTAATTCACATTCGTGAAAAGGGGACGGGATTTTAGTTACAACATTAAAAACATTTCTGCTATCATCTGTGAAATGGATATTCCATAACTGTCAACCAACTCATGATGACCACATGCACACCATCAATATATGTACAAATAGCCAGCAAAGTGAAAACTTCATAGCATTCAAAATGTAGGAGGAGTTATCCGGAAACGCTCCTCTTATGCAAGTAAATTCTCAAAAAATGACAAAGTTCAACTATCTCCCAAAAGAGCAAATATCTATAAAAATAAAATCCTGACCACATGCACACCTTCAATATATGTACTACCAGAGAGCAAAGGTAAAACTTCATAGGATTCAAAATGTAGGAGGTGTATTGCGGAATAACTATCTACCCATTATTGGAAGGACGGACATACGGACGGACAGGGGTAAAATAATATGCCTCCAAACTTTGAGTTGCAGGGGCATAATAAAAATAAACTACCAACGCCATGGCTAAAAAAGAAAAATACAAATAACAATACACACAAGACAAAATAAAAAAACTAAAGACCTAGCAACACAAACCCAAAAATAAATTGAGAGTGCTCTCAGGTGCTCCAGAAGGATAGGCAGATCCTGCTCCACATGTGGCACCCGTCGTGTTGGTCATGTTAGTGCAAACCAAGTGATAAGTCTAATTCGGTAGGTCACATTCGGGGAAGTAGAAGGGATTGTAGTTACGACAATTAGTACATAATCGTTGTCATCTGTGAAATAGATATTCCACAATGGTCAACCAAGTTGTGATGGGGTCCGTAAAACTTACGAAAGGATGATTTCAACTTCACTACTTGCAACCCTTGTTTAATAGCTTCCTTGTGAGCAACAACCCTCTATCATTGAAATCATTATATGAAATAAAAGCCCTGAAATATCATATCAACTGCGAGATATATACTTTGTATGCAGTCACTGATATAATGTTGCTACATAGAAATGGAAAGTTCACAATTGGGAAGCTTAAATCATCACATTGGTCGTAAAGTTTTCAACCGACCCTAATTGTCAATTTTCAGATGCAAGTCATGATATGAGGCAGACTTGACTGTATCTGTTGTATTCTTAATCTCAAGTTGGATGGGCTAGATGCATTCAACGTTAGTCACCAAATTTTGAATTATTTAATGTGAGAACATCAACTTTAAGAGGGAAATAAAGGTAAAAGATACTGTTCGCTTCTTTTCTGTCTTCCTACGAAGTTCCTGTATGAAATCAGCCTCAAGTGAATTAAGAAACAAGTCCGCAAAAAAAGATTCAGGAGCATAGACGGTTCAAATGGGCATACCGAATGTGTTTTCACAATAAATTTTAAGCCCGCCTTTGACTGCTGATAAATTTGATGTTAATAATTCAGAAAGAGGTTTTGTAGAGCAATTAAAAGACCCAGCAATATAAACTTGTTTGTAAGGACACTAATGTAGTTAAGGTATCTAATACAGTGAAGGACGATGCAGTTCTTCATCTTTGGTTGAAAATCCGAAGAAACATAGGACAGACCAATGTTCATAAAGGATTTTCTCCTTATTTAGTGTCCTTGGGGTATATGTTGAGCTTCTAATTGAAATGTCAATACCTTATCCATTTATCAAGCAGTTTATATAATGTGATTTACATATTATTTTTTTGGGGGTGCTTTTTTGCGGAAAGATCAATATATATTTGTCATGAAGGAAGGACAGGTGTTTTGCAATATAGCATTTAACACATTTTATAAAATTTCTAAGCTTAGAACACATTTTTATGTAATGTATATTTTTCAAGTAAATGTTTAACACAAAAAAAGCTTCAAATATCATCTTTTCATTAGTAATGAACAGTTCAGTGCAGCTTACAAAAACCAAATCCGGTATAACTGATTTGATTATTGTTTTTTTCAATCTCTACTGAAACGAACTTACAGTTCTTCTAGTTACATTTGGACATGGATTTAAAATGGTTGGTATATCTGTTGTATTGTCTATGATATTCAAAGTCCCGAAATCTGGTTCCTGAACATTAAGCTGTGGTTTATCTTCTGATTCAATATCATAAGCTCCTAGTAATGCATTCCAGGATTGTGACCAAATAGGCTCATTCCAATCATTTTTCTGTTCGAGATAAACCTAAAATTGATAAATCCAAACTTTCATACTCAATTTAAATAAGAACTTAGTGAACTCAGAAAAAGATTCTACCCATTGCTGCAAGATTGATAATACCACATATAATATTGCATATTGACGTAAATAAATTTAATTATGTTCCATTTATCATTACAGACAGGGATTCCATTTCTTTAAACATATCCTCATGTTGTCTACTACAACCATTTAAATTTTTAATGATATCTGTCTAGCCAATTAGGAAGAGATTCACAAAAAGAGACTATAACCGTTCCACATATTGGAATACATTTTATGCCAATGCTTTTAATCAAATAGACTTCTGACACAAAGATATGACTTGGGCGTATTTTTTAGATATAAAAATCTAATTCTAAAAATCTGAATAGCAATACTTTCACATATAATCATGCAAAATATTCAAAGTCAATGAACCATACCTAAAGGTACAGGGCCAAATAGTTTCAAAGGAAATAAGATATGCTAATGCTGATACAACTGATAAAAAACTAGAACAAATTGTTGAAGCTGTCGACACCTGAAGTAGCTTACATACGTCTCACTTTTGAACTCTGTTAAGGGGAGACAATATATTAAATAGGGTATCAATCTTTGAGCATAATATTGATACTTATATAATTTTGAATGTTTGCTCATTTGTTATATTAATCCAGGCTTATATGAATATGCAGCTGGTTTTCAAAAAAAATTTGTTTTTCATTTTTCAACTGATAACTTCAACTTCTTATTCCAGAGAGCGATACTCATCTGGGTCTTTATGAATCTTCAACAATGGACACTCTCAAACATTGTAAACTATAATAGAAATCATGCTTATATATCTTGTATTGCTGATATTTCTTTTCTTTAACAGTATCTATTTTCTTTATTTTTTGCCCAAAATACTAAAAAAAAACAGTTAAATTGTCATTTGAGGATATTAACTGATATAAGAGTCAAATGTAAAGATATCAGCAAAATTTAATGTTTTTGTAGATCTTGTGTCATTTTTGTTATTTCAATTGTTTGTGTAACTTTTAGAGTTTTCAAGGAAATAGGCACAAAGGCAAACATTTTGTTAACTTTGTCTTTATAAAGCAAGACCTAAGTTAAGGAATTGATTGACTATTTTGGCCAAGTGAACTTATTTAAAGACTGTCTTGCTGATCATATTTGCTATTTTAAGTGTCTTTCTATCTATTTATTATATTGTTTTCAAGATAATAGGCAAAAACACTAAAAATAAGTAAAAATATTCATTGAAGAGCAACAATTCCATTAAGGAGTCTTAAAAAATAAAATCACAAAAATACTGAATTCCGAGGAAAATTCAAAAAGGAAAGTCCCCAATCAAATGGCAAAATCAAAAGTTCAAACATATCAAACGAATGGATAACAACTGTCATATTCCTGACTTGGTACAGGCATTTTCTTATGTAGAAAATGGTGGATTGAACCTGGTTTCATAGCTAGCTAAACCTCTCACTTGTATGACAGTCGCATCAAATTCCATTATATTGACAACGATGCGTGAACAAAACATCGACACAATAGGTAAAAATGTCAAAAGTAGGAGTACAGCAGTCAACATTGTGTTATCATCTTAATCACAATAAAAACAAACAAAGGTAACGAAGAAGCACAAAAAAGGCATACATCAAATTTAACATCCTCATTTTGCTTATATTATACGATTTTATTTATCTATGTAAAATCCACCCATAAAGGATGGAAGGTTTTAAGTACTGGCGTAAAATCACGCGTTTGAAATTCGCACAGGAAGACATAAAATAATTTTGTCGTTCAAAGTATGACGGGATACATAATTACAGAACACTTTTACCTCACATTAGATTTGCTCTAAATGCTATAGTGTTTGAGATATAAGCCAAAAACTGCATGTTACCTCTATGTTCTATTTTTAAACATGGCGGCCATGTTTTTACGTAACAGAAAATAAAACAAAAACTTTATTCTAAATACCCTAAGGATCATTCAGCTTAAGGTTAGTTGGAATTGGTTCAGTCGTTTCAGAGGAGATTTATTAAAGTTAGAAAACATGATAAACAAATTGTGTAAAATTGTCTTTAAAGGGCAATAACTCCTTAAGGGGTCAATTGGCAATTTTGGTCATAATATCTTATTTGTACTTATTACTTAGCTGAACATTTTTGCTGTTTACAGTTTCTCTTTATCATTAATAACATTCAAGATAATAACCAAAAACTGCAAAATTTCCTTAAAATTATCAATTTAGTGACAGCAACCCAATAATAGGTTATTAGATTCATCCAAAAATTTCAGGGCTGATAGATCTTCACATAATGAACACTTTTACCCCAGTTAGATTTGCTCTAATTGTTTTTGTTTTTGAGATATAAGCAAAAAACTGCATTTTACCCCTATGTTCTATTTTTAGCCATAGCGGCCATGTTTTGTGACGAAATAAAAAATAAAACACAAACTTTATTGTAGATACCCTAAGGATTGTTCAGCTTAAGTTTTGTTGGAATTGGATCAGTAGTGTCAGAGAAGAAGATGTTTGAAATAGTTTACACCAGACGGACGACGACGACGGACGACGACAGACGACGACGGACGCCAAGTGATGGCTAAAGCTCAGTTCCTTCGGAACGGTGAGCTAAAAACGAAGTCGGTGACCATGTGATTATTTTACATCATTAAAACAGAAATTTATCTGTCAACAACATATATTTTTTTAAGAAAAATCTATGGAATATAAATTAGAGATTTGATGCTATTAAGCCAAATTTTAGAAGATTTTTCGCCGATTTTATGTGCTATCTATACAAATATTCATCCATTTTGAAAGAAATCAATCTGTAATATTTCAGATAATAAAAGAGATAAATGAATTATTTTTTCGATTTTCATTTGTTGTTCAAAGAGCCAAGGTTGTATGCAAAATTTTAGTAAAATCCGCGACATAGCCAATTTACCGTTCCTTGACCTTATAGTTTCGGCATAAGTGGACAGTAGGCAGAATTCCGTTGTTCAACTTAGTTAACTGAGAAAATATATTGATATATTAAAATCTTCAAGGAGTGCCACAGAATTCGTGACATAGCGATTTACATGTGGCAGTGCTGTAAACAATTGGTATAAAACTTTATATTTCTAAAGGTAAGACTTAGATACTTTTAATAAAATGCTCCGCTGGGCGCAGCTTGATACGACCGCAGAGGTCGAACCCTAAACAGTTGGGGCAAGTATGGACACAACATTCAAGCTTGATACAGCACTGAATTTGGATTGTGATTAGATATTTGACACAGCATAGGTTTCTGACACAGAATGAATGTGGTCTAAGAACTTATATTTTTAATTTACCTACTCAAACCATATCATTATTATTTGCTTTTATATATAAATCAGAAATAACCAATTTAAAATGGAAAATTTTAAAGAAAAAAAGGGGAAAAAAAATCCCCCCCCAAATTTTTTGAACCCCCTTATGATTCATCACCCCCAAACTCAAACCCAGCTTTCCCTTTGTGATATGGAACCTTGTTGTACAATTTCATAAAGATCCATACACTTACACACAAGGTTTTGTCTGGATACTAGAAAAGTGCTTATTTTTTGCCCCTTTTTGGCCCCTAATTCCTAAAATTTTGAGGCAATTACCCCCAAAATCAATCCCAGCCTTCCCTTTGTGGTATGGTACCTTGCAGTACAATTTCAGAGAGATCCATACACTTGAACACAAGTTATTCTCTGGAAACTAGAAAAATGCGTATTTTTGGTCCCTTATTCCTAAACGTTTTAAGCAATTACCCCCAAACTCAATTACAGCTTTCCCTTTGTGATATGGAACCTTGTACATGTAGTACAATTTCATAAAGATCCATACACTTACCAGTGTTTTCCATTCGGCATTTAAGCCGGGTGTGCCGACCACCTTCTTTTGAAAGCCGACCACCTTTCCATTTTAGGAGGTGGTCGGCTTTTTTTTTTTAAAATTCCGGATTTTTTTCGGTTCCACACCGTGAAAATTTAAATACTAATCGCGCCTCGCTGATTGTTTTCATTGACAAAAATGGCGGATCGTCAAATTTCAATGTTTTCTGTTATTAATCGGGGGAAGAGAAAGGCAGATGACGAAGGTGATAAGGAAAATTCTAGGCCAAATAAGTCAACTAAAACGGATAGTTGTATTGAAATTGTTGAAACGGAAAAGAAAAGTCTCAAAACAACGGAAAAGGCACATCAGCGATCGCGAAGATGAACAGGTTGGGAACAATCCCCCAATATCCCTTAAATGAGGGACTGTCTCTCTGGCAAGAGGTTATGTTAATTTTGTTGAAGAAAAGAAAAGAGAAAAACTTAGAATTTTTAACTTAAAAGGGGAAAAAATCGTTATGTTCGGACCAACATTTCTAAAAGAAGGTCCCATTATTTTTAATGATAAAGAAGATATAAGTCCAGGAATATTACAAATTCTTGGACATGTTTTGGCCATATAATACCAAATAGATGTATAGTTCTTTGGGAAAATTTTCTGTAAATAAAATAAATATGTGCTCATTTGTATCTCGTTAAATGTACCCCTCATAAACATGAGAGATAGTCATTAAATTGAGAGGTTACCCCTCATTGGATAAATATGAACTGGACTTTAAATGGCTAATCGTCACAGAAGGAGGATATAACTGCTCTGTGTTCCAAAAATACAGCACTAAAGCGAGGAACAAGACAGAAACTTGGATTGATAAGCTATGCATATGCAGGAGGATTTAGTCCTACAAAAGCCATATCTGCTATCCAAGATCCGCAAAACTAATTTGTCAAATGAATGGCTAGCAGTGATAGCAGAAGAACAGTGCAATTTTATTAAATGTGAATACAATACTATTCCTTCTTTTTGTGACCCCTCTAACAGTAAAAAACCCGGTTGGAAATGTTAAAACAAAAAACAAAAAACACCTGGTTGCAAGTGATTTTTTCAAAACACCCACCTTACCTTAGTGAAAAATGGAGAACACTGCTTACACACAAGTTATTGTCTGGAAACTAGAAAAATGCTTGTTTTTTGCCCCTTTTTTGCCCCTAATTCCTAACATTTTGGGGCAATTACCCCCAAAATCAACCCCAGCCTTCCATTTGTGGTATGGTACCTTGCAGTACAATTTCAGAGAGATCCATACACTAACACACAAGTAATTGTCATGAAACTAGAAAAATGCTTGTTTTTTGCCCCTTTTTTTGCCCCTAATTCCTAAAATTTTGAGGCAATTACCCCCAAAATCAATCCCAGCATTCCCTTTGTGATATGGAACCTTGTGGTACAATGTCAGAGAGATCCATACACTAAAACACAAGTTATGTCTGGAAGTTACAAAAATGCTTATTTTTGGCCCCTTTTTGGCCTCTAATTCCTTAACTGTTAGTACCATAACCCCCAAAATCAATCCAAACCTTCCTTTTGTGGTATTGAACCTTATGGTAAAATTTCATAGAGATCCATTCACTTAAACTAAAGTTAGAGTGCGAAAACCAATGTGTCTTCGGACGATGACGACGACGCCGGACGACGACGACGACGACGACGACGCCAACGTCATACCAATATACGACGCAAAATTTTTTTGCGGTCGTATGAAAAGTACGTTATGCCTTAACATCCAGTAATGCACTCCTTGATCATTTGGGCCATGAACAAAATTCTAAATTACTGGTTCTCCTTACTAGATCTGTAACATGACAAAAAAGTGGTAATGTAGTCTGGTATCTCCACTGGTTTACTGAGGGGAGACAACTTACAATAACTGGTTCCGTAGGATCCGCTGGTAGTTGTGATTCTCCTATCAAAGTTAGGAAGATGACTGGTGGGTTTGCTATATCTGTTACATTGACAGTCAGCCATACTGTTACATTATTTGGTGGAATTTCTGAGTCATTTTGAACTTCCTGTAAGATGACTGGGAATGTCTGAATACCCTGACAGTTCTCACATGGTGTGAACAGCAGCCTGGAGATAAAACAGATATATATCAATACATATATAGTTCTGAAATTAAGTGAACAGCAGATTGAAGAGAACTAGAAAACTCAAGCAATACCCATACAGTTCTTACTACGTGTGAAAACAGATTGAAGAGAAATGGAAAACTTAATCAATACCAATATAGTTCTCACAAGGTGTGAAAACAGATGGAAGAGAAATGGAACACACTCAGTCAATACCAATACAGTTCTTACAAGGAGTGAAAACAGATTGAAGAAAAATGAAAAACACAAGTAGTACCCATACAGTTCTCACAAGGTGATTACTGTAGTTTTCACTTACATAAAAATACAATCAATTTTAATACAGTTCCCGCAAAGTGTGAACAGTAGTCTGCAGTTAAATGAAAAACACAAGTGGCATAATTCTTTAACAAAGATGTTGATCCGCACTGATTTTCGAACTTGTTCGAGATATTGCTTACTAAAACTCAGAAATTATCGCATGCATTTATTATAGCGATTTTTGAAGAAAAGACAATGATGCGAGATTAATTATTGGAATTTCAGAAAATCTGCATACAGTTATATGTATCAGATATCAGAATTGCATTATTCGCAATGAAAAGAACCTCACAATAATTTTTAAATCTATAGTATAAAAACTTTGAAATAAGTTTCATAAAATTCTGGCAAGAATTGTACACATGAGAGCACTATCAGTGCATTTTAAATATAATTAATATTTCAAAAGGGCACAACTATAAATAAATGATCGGCACTGATTTTCGAGCTTGTCAGAAACATTTCTGATATAAACCTATGATACAAGTTTCATAAAATTCGAGCAAGAATTGTACACAAATTTGCTAACAATGCAATTTTCCATATATTTTCAAGGGGCATGGCTCTTTAAAATATAGTTGATATGATTTTTGAACTCGTTGTAGACATTGCTGATATAAACCTATGATGTAAGTTTTATAAAAATCTGGCAAGAATTGTACACGTGAGAGCGCTAACAAGACGGGACGGGACAGACAGACGTACGGACCATGTCCAGTATTTCTATGTCCGCCGCAATGCATCGTGCTAGGAACAATAAAAATGATAAGTAGACACAAAATGCAGAAAGTAGGTTATGACTATTCAAAAATTGGAGAGTTGTATATACAATATTTACTTTATACCATCAGTATCTTCTTTAAATGAACTTACATTCCATAAACAGACATGATCGGTGTTCCCATGGTTCAATTAGTGTGGTAACTTACATTCCATCAAGACATATGATTGGTGTTCCCATAGTATAATTAGTGTATGAACTTACATTCCATCAACAGACAGGATAGGTGTTCCCATGGTATAATCAGTGTAGTTGCCAACCAAATAGAACTCAATGGTATCTCCCTCATCATCGGCTGCTTCCAACTGATACTGTATTGTACCTAAAATATACAAATAACAATAGTTATAGTAGCTTAATAAACTGGTTCTATATTGTACCTTAAGCAAAGCACACATGATTATAGTAGCTACCAATTAGTTCTTAAAATATACAAGAAGAATGTGTTCATAGTACACGGATGCACCACTCACACTATCATTTTCTATGTTCAGTCGACCGTGAAATTGGGGTCAAAACTCTAATTTGGAATTAAAATAGGAAAGATCATATCATAAGAAACATGTGTATTAAGTTTCAAGTTGATTGGACTTCAACTTCATCAAAAACTTCCTTGACCAAAAACTTTAACCTGAAGCGGGACAGACGGACGAACGAACGGACGCAAAGACAAGAAAATATAATGCCCCTCTACTATCGTAGGTGGGGAAGCATAAAAACCACAAAACTATATATAGTTATTGTAGCTACCCACTCGTATTGCATTTTACCTTTAAATATGCAAATCACACAGAGCTATAGTAGCTACTAATTGGTACTGAACAGCACCTTTTACTAGTAAAAAAAACAAATCACACATCACTATAGTAGCTACCTACTGTATTGTACCTTACAATTAAAAAAAAAAACAAATCACACATAGCTATAGCAGCTACCAATTGGAACTGTATTGTACCTCCAAAAATACAAACAATATATAGTTATAGTAGATACCAATTGGTACTGTGCTTTACCTTAAAATATACAAATCACACATATGTATAGTTTGATACAAGTAATCATAAGATGGATCAAAGACTTTTAATCTAAAGTCTGAGTAGTGTAAACTGGTCCCTGTTCTGTCCAAAATCTTTTACCCATTGTTCAACAAACCCATTTATAAATACACACTGAAATTCCTGAATTTACAGTATTCAGTATTCAGAGATGTGACATTTTTATTCCCTTTCCTACCTGCATCTTCTGACATGAAGATAACATCTGGTACTATAAGATGGGGTTCTGAATTCGTAATGGAGGCCTTGGCATTAGACAAAGAAAACATGGTCTCATGACGGAAGTATGGCTCATTGACTGCACTTTCTGTTAAATCTCTCCAGGTGTTGCATACCTGTAAATATGGCAGAAAATATAAAACATATCAAGAAAGTCCAGGAACACATTCATATTTTAACAGGCAAAACTTTATAGGCATACGTCATATGCGACCTATAAAAGGCAAAAAGTATTTCAAAAACTTGTCAGTAAAATACAGATATACCACACTTGAAAAATTATTTGCTATTAACATTGTAAATAATTAATAAGATGTGGTTTGACAAATTCAACAATGACCCCAAAAGACAAAGAAAATGAATAAAAAATGTTCTGGACAGTTTATGCCCTTTAGCAGTTAGGTAAAAAATGATAATGGGCTACGTTTACAACAATTTACAACAAATTGTCAAGAAATAATTTAGGTATTCTTATACAATCTACTTATCTGTATATCAAATCAAATGCATTGGCTCCATTTCCATTATCACCCAAAATGAATTATTATAAAAGCAACAAAATATAGAAGTATAAACCTCAAGCATGTGTATCCACACATCACTAGAGACAGACTCTGTATGTATGATTAACAAAAATAAAAAAATACAGTAAAATAAATAAATACCTTGACAGTGACAGTACCATCATTATTGAAGACCTCAGTATCTGTCTCATTACAGGTTCTACTAGACTCCTCCCACAATTGTCTCACTGAAAAATATAACATACTATTTATAAGAAAAGAGAGTACAAATTAGGTTTTAGCCTTGCATAATTTACTTTGGACTGTTGTATTCTCACATTTCAGTTTCTAAGCAAATTTCAAGGAAAATTCTCAGTTTTATGTTAAAAGAATACTTTTTTCCAATGCAACTTCAGATTGATTGAATGATTAACATCCGGTGAATGCAGCAAAAAACAAATAATGTTAAATAGTGAAATGTTTTCTTTTCATCAGCGAACAAACAAACGCAAGTGATGGTTTGATTAATATGTTTTATGCCATTTCAACACACATATAGGCAAATAGTAAACAACATATTTCATATGCCAACTGTATTTCGGAGAGCTTAAACTAATATGCCAACAAAATTACGAGTGGTTGTCAAGTACAGTAAATAGGCAAGTGAAATTCTGAATTTACCTCTATGGGTGGTGACCAAGTTTTGAAATTACCTTTCCTGGGTACCATGGATGTTTAAATGTATTGATGTTAAACAACACTTTCAGCACTGTTAGCTATATTGTAGCAGTAAGATTTTAATGGTGGAAGAAGCCTGAGGGAATCACACCCTTTGGCAGGAAAACTGACGATCTTATTCTTTTAAAATTGAAGTCTAGCACACCTATCACGTGTGGGGTTCGAAATCACAACCTCAGTGTTGACAATACTGGCAAGTGATAAAGTAGTTGAACTTCTTAGACCACTTGATCACCGAGACACCTTGGATATTTAAATGGAACAGCCCTTATCTTACCTGGATTCCAATTTGTCAATATCGTTCTATTGCCTGAATGATGTCTAGGTCCGGCAACATCACTGAATGTCATCAGAATTGGTCCAGGCATCATAATATGTCCAACAGACACAAAGGAAAATGCAAATTCACTTTCATGGAGTCTGAAAAAGAAAATATCTACATGAACTTGATAGCAACAAAAATTCTTATTTTTCCAGGATGGAAGTTTGTTTAGACATATTACATTGTTAATTTCATCATTAGTATAACAACAATGCTGCATAATATTGCAGGGTCATAATATATAACCTAGAATTAAGATAAGAATTCCCTAGGCAAAGCTGACATTAGATGATTCTGACCATTCTTCTATTGCAATTGTGAACAGCCTTCGTGGTCTTGTGATTTACAGCTCGCCTTAAACAGTCTCCTTTAGGTTTTTTTATCTTGAGTATAAAAAAAGTGTGAAAACTTCCTGAAAAAATTAACTACTTTTAGTCCAAAATATATGTGATTGTGAAAACCAATGAACTATGAACTTCACTGGATAGTTGTCTCAATGTCAATCATACCACATGTCCTTTTTTTTATATAAATACCGATCCTTTTAAGAGATGAGGTTATAAATTAAAGGACCAACAATAAAAGGACTTCACAAAGGGTTAAATATTGCCCTAAGAAATTGATGTTTTCTAATCAATCAAGATATACAAATTTCACATAAAAACAGTAGTGATATTTATAACTATTAAAACAAACAAAAATCTTATAGGCGCATCCCATTTAGAAAAATGATGCAGAACTGACCCCTCAATTACATGTATGCATTATTTGTGTTGTAACAAAAGTCTTAGTCAAAGTTTCAGTTTTCCCTTTGGCCGCCACTCCTGATCCAGAAAGTTTTTGGCTTTTTTTGGCTACAGAACATTTTGTATCCTAGGTTGCGGCCAAGGGATTCCTCAAGCTTAAAGGTCCAGAAAAATGCGAAAAATAATTCTTTTTTTTACAATATATCCAAAATGTGCTGATTTTCACGCCTTGAATGTACTCTAATGAAGAGATTTGTTAAACTTTGAAATAGATACATTGAAGTCCCTTTAAGTGAACACTTAGAACGTTTTCCTTAACTAGATATGGAGATTTTGTTCATTGTTTCATTGACTACAACTTTTAATCTCGCTACCATACCTTCTTAGCAGAATTCTATCCACTAAATCAGTTGTAGTAGATGGATCAATAATATAAGGTACAAAATCTGTTGATGCTGCAGAATCATATGTTGCTGTTAACTCAGTATGAGTAAGGATTGCAAATGTTGTACTGTGTCCAGAAGTCAAATCTTAAATAAAACAATAAACTTCACCTTCAAAACAAAGTATTCAAGCAAAATATTTTGACATTTTACGAAAGGATAATTATAATAGTTATAGTTGATATTAAAGATTGGAACATTGTGGATGTGCAAAATCTTTTTTCCCATGGAAAATGCAGCTAAACATTGGCTGCGATCTACAATTTCTGACCAAAATAACTATATCTTATCTTTTGTGTTAGAGGAAGCAGAATTTGTTTCATATTTTTTCTTTGCAAACTTCATTTAACTTCCAAACTTTTATTGGGGCCCTTTATAGCTTGCTGTTCGGTGTGAGCCAAGGCTCCGTGTTGAAGACCGTACTTTGACCTTTAATGGTTTACTTTTATAAATTTTGACTTGGATGGAGAGTTGTCTCATTGGCACTCATACCACATCTTCTTATATCTAATTGCCATGAATCTTGGGATTTAATTTTAACATCAAATCTTCATTATTTTGGTTGCTGCATGAAAATATCGTTGATATTGATATTAGATTGTGCGTTCTTGTATAAATGGACACTACAATTCGTGCCAAACTATTTGGGTTTCTGTGTGACATTGGTTCCAATAGTCATGCCATAAACTAAGATTGTTGCCTGATAACATTCTTTTTATTGCTAACTTGTATTTCTGTCTATTTTCTAGCAAAACGATAAATTTCACAGCTGTGAATTGTAAAGCTGTAGTTCAATTAAATATTTGTCTCTATTCTACTGCTTCAATTCACTAAAAAGTACTGAAAACGATCTTACAATTAGAATTAACTTTTTTATTTACTAATATTTTGCTACAGCCATCAAAGACTCGAACTGAATGTTAAGTGAAAAAAAAATTGCCAATTTAAAAAAAAAATTATCGGACTCGTGCATGCAATGGAATAACCTTATCCGGAATCTCAGATGGTGATTGCGAAATTAGTTAATGAAAAGGCAATTTACACTTCTAATTTAAATCTAATAAATATAGTTGGCGGAATTCAGATAGTTCTGCAAATTTAGTAAAACTCGAGAAAAAAGTACTCGTCAGTCATGAACATTTCAGTAAATCTTATGATTAATTTTTGCCGTACGATTTTTTTCTGCATAGAGCTACTGGACTTTTTGACAGGAGATTGTATCCTAACATGATCCAACCTTTATGAAGCTATATTAATATAGGAAAGTAAGTTTGATTGGATGATTTGGTCTGTCCTTTGCTCTTTTGGATTTTCATTTTTTATTCAAAGCAATTACTTGAAATTCAAGAAAAAAATTGAAAAACTGCAAAATATGCCTTTTTACAGGAATGACCTCTTAATTTGTCATTCATATAAGAGGGTTCATTTGTAACATCAAATAAGTATTTTCTTTTTAATCTTCATCAAACTTACTACTTGGGGTTACAATGACTAAATCATCTCCGACAGTTCTCTTCTTCCTTCTACCAGAACTTGAGGAGACTGATATCGTAATGGCCAATCCATTGAGTGATGTTTCTAGATCAGTATTGGCATTGGTTATTATGACACTACCCATTGTCTTGTTAAAACATCTCATGGCAGCATTACATAACCTCATCATCATAAACACAGTACGTCCTGGCTCCATGTTGAATACATTATTGGCACTGGAAAGACGGTCTGCATCAGGCAAACTTGTATTTTGCACAGGGTTTAATTCAGATAATGGTCTTATGTTTACACCATTAATTTTCACGTATCCATCATCAATCATGATTGTCCCAGAAACATTGTACCCTACCCAAGTACATGGGAAAATGTCCTCTTTTCCTTCATCTGTCCCACAGCATAAGTCTGAAAATGTTCATCAAAATTATAGTGCAAAATATCAACTGTAAACCAGGACTAGAGATTTTGAAACAAGAGTTTACATACAAAGTATCAGCAAACAGAACGACTGTAGGTATCTGACAGATCTGAAAAATAGCACACTTTACAACCTATCATTGTCAATCTGCTGACATGAGTTGTTTCTGAGAAAAGTGTGACGAAAATATTTGTTGACCGGAGAGACGAACTTACAGACACAGATGAACCGGAGGGTGGGGGGTGGGGGGTGGGTTGGGGGGGGGGGGGGGGTGGGGGGGGGGGGCAAACTGATGGCATTACAGTCCCCACACATAGAGAGGGAGTATATAACTAGAGGCTCTCAAGAGCCTGTGTCGCTCACCTGTATTTACTGATGCTTTGGAAATCATGTAAAATAAGGTTAAAATCATAATTAATAGTATTAGATATTAGATATTATAATGATATCTAAGATAATAACAAAAAACTGCAAAATTTCTGTAAAATTACTAACTCAGGGCAGCAACCCAACAACGGGTTGTCGGATTCGTCTGAAAATTTCAAGGCAGATAAATCTCAATCTGATGAACATTTTTGTCACCTGTAAGATTTGCTCTAAATGCTTTAGTTTCAGAGATATAAACCAAAAACTGCATTTTACCCCTATGTTCTATTTTTAACCAAGTCGGCCATGATGGTTGGAAAGCGGGGTCATCGGACAAATTTTTTGTTTGTAGATCTTACTTTGCTGAACATTATTGCTGTTAACAGTTTATCTCTATCTATAATAATATTCAAGATAACCGAAAACTGCAAAATTTCCTTTAAATTACCTATTCAGGGGCAGCAACCCAACAACAGGTTGTCAGATTTGTCTGAAAATTTCAAGGCAGATAGATCTTGACCTGATAATCAGTTTTACCCGATGTCAGATTTACTCTAAATGCTTTGGTTTCAGAGATATAAGCCAAAATCTACATTTTACCCCTATGTTCTATGTTTAGCCATGGCGGCCATCTTGGTAAGTTGGCGGGGGCATCGGACACATTTTTTAAACTAATGATGATTGTGGCCAAGTTTGGTTAAATTTGGCCCAGTGGTTTCAGAGGAGAAGATTTTTGTAAAAAGCTAACGACGACGGACGACGGACGACGGACGCAAAGTGATGAGAAAAGCTCACTTGGCCCTTCGGGCCAGGTGAGCTAATAAGGGGTTTACATTAAACAAAATTCTTAAGAATAGGAATATGGTTTATATCATTGTCTTTATTTATCAACAGCATTAACCTGCTCTTGAAATGAATTCAATTTTTTTTAATATTGTTTAACAAATGACTCTTTATTTGCTTTAAAAAGAAGTTGAATAAAACAAATGTTTTGGGTCCAATGGCAGCATATTATTAGATTTCATTTTTATTTGTTGCTATATAAGTAAAATAAATGAACAGAGTTCCAATGTCCACCGCGTTATACATATTTTATCTACCAAGGTACAAGGGCACTGACTAAAAAAGCCCTTTTTTTGTTCTTTAAATTTGTTATTTATATCTTAGAGAAATGAAGGCTTAAGAGCAAATGTAATGTGATTTCTTTAATAACTAATATTTCCAAGGGGCTTAACTCATAAAAATCATTTGATCAGATCATATTTTCAAAAGCATCAAAGACATTGCTAATATAAACCTATGATATAAGTTTCATAATTCTGGCAAGAATTGTAATAAATTTGTATTCATGAGGGCGCTAACAATGCAATTTTATATGTAAGCAATATTTCAAGGGCATAACTCTTTTTGAATAATTGATCTGCACTGATTTTTAAACTCGTCAAAAAAATTGATGATATAAACCTATAATGTAAATTTCATAAATATCTGACAAGAATTGTACACATTAGAGAACTCATAAGACAATTTCCTTATTACTAATATTAGCAAAGGGCATTATAAGCTCTTTGTAAAATGATCGATTGGCACTGATTTTGGAACTTGTCAAAGACATTGATTATATAAACCTATGAAGTTCCATAACATTATGGCAACAGTTATACCTTTGATAACTATTGTACACATGAGAGCGCTAACAATGTAATTTTTCATATAATTAATGTTTCCAAGCTAATGGGCATTACTCTTTAAAAATTAATCTATCAGCACTGATTTTCCTGCTGATATTAACCTATGATATAAGTTTCATAAAAATCTGGCAAGTGTTATACACATCAGAGCGCTAATTTTCCATACAATTAATGTTTCCAAGGGCATAACTCTAAAAATAATTAATCGGCACTGATTTTCGAACTTGTCAAAGACATTGCTGATATAAACCTTTGATACAAGTTTCATAAAAAAAACTGGCATGAATTGTACACATGAAACCGCTAACAAGACCATACAGACGGACGGACGCCAGGTAATTATATGTCTACCGTAAAGCGTTGTGCAGGGGACAAAAATTACTTATACAAATATTTATCATGAATTTGAACAAGGTGAACCAACACCTGAAGTGGTAATCGTGCGGTTGGGTAATAGTGGGTGGATACCGAAGTCAAAATAATTCAGAATACCAGGCATTTTACTTAGAGAAAAAAAGAAGAAACCATAAACGAAATGAACCACATAAACCACAAAACATATTTATAAAGAAAAGCTTGATCCACGGACACTTTATTAGCAAAGTAAATTTTTATGAACGAATCTACCAAGATTTACAATCCCCAAAATTGCTGCGATCATACACTTCACCCTATTACCAACGCAATTGGAAGCAGTACCTCCCTCGGAGCGAAGCCAGTTGAATTGGTACGGGATGGTCAGTGGGGTGTTGTCCAATTTGGAAATGAACTGATATTTTATGATCTACTTTCATCATTTCTACAATAATACCACTAGAAACCTCCATGAGAACAACTACACAGACGTGTGAAAATAGCAGCTACAGCCCTTCGATGGTGTAAACTTCCCAAAATAACGTGTATGGTGTAATGGTGTATGGCATATGGTGCAATGGTAGAAGGTGTATGGTGTATGGTGTAAGGGGAATGGTGTAATGGTGTATGAGGAATGGTGTGATTGTGTAACGTGCGATCGGGAATGGTGTGAATGAATGGTGTACGACATTTCATTGGTTGAAACCGAAGTTCATTTTATTTTAATTTTTCGGATTGTAAACATAAACAATAATAATAATCCTATTGTTCTTTTTTCCCAGTAAAGCAAATTACTTTACTCGTTAGACTCTATGTCATATATATTTAATATACACATATTAAAAAATCTTTTTTTTTTCATATTCTTATTTACATTAAACAACGGCTTTAAAATTACACACTTGTGATCACATGCAGTTATCATAAAAGAAAGGATTTTATTTAAACTAGAAGGCGGATAGAAAGGTTATCCACGCATCGGAACAGTATTTTTATATCACGGGTTATCAACATCATTTTTAAAGTTGCTTCGTTCCCCACTTTTGACAGTCTCTTTATAAATATCTTATCGTCATTCACCTATGTTTGCCTTGGATTTACGATTCTGTTTTCCAAAAAATATTCAAAGGAAAATTGTACAGTGTTATTGCACATACGGTGTTGTATAATTATGAACAATCTCGTCAATTTCGTTAGATTTGTCTTTACGGATTATAAATGATATCTTGAACGTCCGAAAAATTATACTTATGTGAAACGGAATGAAATATTTGCCACTTGATATTTAGCCACCAACAAAATCAACCAACCGACATAATATACTAACAGTATACTTTTCCTAGAAGAGAACTTCTCATGCTTTTCATTATAAAGTACAAATGAAATCTGTCATGTGAGTCACACTGTTGGATGATGAGGTGGAATAGTTTTATTATACAAACCATCCTGAACTACTGAGTTTAAATCATCACACCTCAGCAAGCACGACTAATTTATGCGCAGACCAACCCATCACACAATAGCCCAAAAGGAATCTGTGATGTACCCGTCCATATTCAGAAGTCATGGAAGTGGGAAATACAGATACTGATACTGACTTTAGTGACAGTTTTATATAACGAATACAGAGATGAAATGCTGGCACTCTAAATTAAAGCGGACAAGATTTTGTTATCATTGTATTGCAATGTTGCTGTCATTTGTATTATACAATCCATCCTGACATCAAAGTATTGCTGATTTACTATGCGGCTGCCGCTATATAGATTTACATAATAAAGTGCAAATATGGTCAGTTTTGTTTGGTACTTTAAAATAGTTTTGTTATACGAGTCAGCCTGAGGTATCAAAACTACTGAAATTTTGTTGCGATACAATATATTGAATAAAAAGAGGACATGCTGGTAATCTAGATTGATGGGGACAAATTTTTGTCATTGTACATGTTGTTTTGCAATGTTGCTGTCATTTGTATTATACAATCCACCCTGACATCAAAATATTGCTGATTTACTATGCGGCTATATAGATCTATATAATAAAGTGAAAATATTATGGTCAGTTTTGGTTGATGAGTTAAATAATTTTGTTATATGAGTCAGCCTGAGGTATCAAAATTACTGAAATTTTGTAGCGAGACAATATTTTTAATAAAAGGAGGGCAAAAATATTTCCAAATTTTTTAACCCTATATAAATTAACAGATTGACACACTCCCCATTTCCATTCTCAATTTATAATTATAAGTGCAAATATGGTCAGTTTTGGTTGATGCTTAAAATAATTTTGTTGTACATGTTGTACATGTACCAGTCATCCTGAAGTATTCTTTTTTGGCATTGTTTGTCGATTTTATCTGAAAACAAGTTTATAAGATTTACGATACATGTTAAAACCGATAATAATAGCATTGTAACCAATATCGTTTTTAATTTATAGATAGGCAGATCGCGGATAAATTTGCATTACAAGCAAAGTTTTATGCGTACTTTATTTACAAATACATGTATATATATTTAATCTGTATTGTTTATATAACCATCATAGGTATGACCACGGAGATTTTAATTTTATACATTAATTTACAATATTGTGATCAAAATTCGTTTTTTAAATCAAATAAATAATTTTGTAGTCGCACGCTTTCTTTGAAATTTAATTGCATTATGGGTAATTTCGGATCGTGTAGATAGAATGGGGAATGGTGTATGGTGTAATGTGTAAGGTGTATGGTGCAAAGGTGTAACGTGTATGGTGTAATGGCACAAGGTGTATGGTGTAATGGTGTATGGTGAATGGTGTAATGGTGTATGGTGTGAGTGGGAAGTTTACACCATCCAAGGACTGTAACCACATCGTTAATAACTTTATTGGCTAACTTTCACTTTAACTTAACTAGATTCTTATTTTACTTTCACGGTCTATTTATATCTATAACGTCGTCATAACAACCTCTATTGTTACGTTACTTTCGGCGAACCACACAACCGCAAAATTTGTACTTCACTGTTTGATTTCATATGTAATATTGTCCTGAGGGCGCCACGCTTGTTGGCGAAACATGTCGACCAGATTAAACTCTTACCATGTGGTAATTGATGGGTGTTGTTGTCTTTATTTTCGTTTTTTCTAAATATTTATCATGTCAAATAGTAACTAGAATCAAACAATTTACATACCATATCTATTAACTGAGTCATCATGACTTAGTGTAAATGCAACTCCTAGTTTGGTCGAATCAGTACTCTGGAGAGCATCTTTTGGAACAACATCAACTGATAGCTGGGTAGCATCAGGTATAGTGGTATTTACATCATCTATTGGAGGTTCCAGGAGTACAATAACACCTATCAAGAAAATAGATGTTTGATATTTATCCTAAAATACTTAGCTTGACTTTTTTTAGACAGCCACGAGTACAAGTTTGCATTATTGTAGCTGATTTAGCCAGTCTTCTTTTGATCTATAAAAAACATTCTAAATTTCAATTTTTTCTTTAACTTTCTGATTCCATTTAAAAAAATCTTCTGACCTACTTCATTACATTTTCTGTAGCATTATGACTTTAATTTTATTCAGATAAATCAGCAATTTTTGAACGATTGACTGCACATACAATTTTCTACAAGTATACAAGAGGGACGAAGATACAAGAGGGACAGTCAGAAGCATAGATCGAAAACAAAATGACAACGCCATGGCCAAAAATAAAAAGACAGACAAATAATAGTACAGATGACACAACATAGAAAATCAAAGACTAAGCAACACGAACCCCACCACTATATAAGTCCTTAAAGAGTAAAGCAATTTTATATACCTTTAGTATCATTGTAGCTCACAACATGACCAGCCCCATTCTCACAGATCAGGGATACATAGTATGTGGTATTTTGTTCCAAGATGCCTTCAAATGTACTGTTCATGGCAACTTGATTGGTACCTATAGACTCAAATTCCTGTAAATCTTGCCCACCAACTGTTGTACCTATGGCCCACAAATTTTCCTACAAAATAAGGGTAAACAAGATGAACTGTCAGCTGATGATACCCCAGCTGTAAGTATTTTGTAACAGGAAGTTAGTTAGAAAAAGATGTGATAACGCATCCGATGGTAATGATAAAGCATGCTGACTAAAAACTTTATATTAAATCTCAGGAATCTCTCATGTGTATTCTATTAGAAAAATTCTGCAAAGGTTTCATGCTATGGACCTATGGACAAAGTAAAGCAGTAGTTCGCCTCTTTTGGGATATAACTAAAACGAAGAAACAAAGGATAACAAGTTTGAATATTTATTACCACTGAATAATTAATTTATAGTTTCCATGTTAAAAATTAAGGAAATCTTCTTTGTATCAGGCATAAGTATTACAAACCACTACATCACTTTCATCATCATAACATCTCCAGAATGCCTTTATGGTGCTATTGGACCCCTGATATCTGACAGGAGTGAACTCCCCTTGATCTACATCAATATAAATATCGCTGCCCATCACATCAGGATCAAATATTGGAGGTGTATCGTCAATGTAAAATCCATCTGAAGACACAACTGTTGTAACACCAGAACTAAGCACAGCTTTTACTATAATAATATAGATAATTTTTAAACATCAAGCATTTGTTCAGCAAATCAAGGTTACGTATCTTACTCTTATAAATAGATTAATTGACTTATTTTGTCATTCAAAATATATGGAAAAAAAAAACAATAAAGAAATACACACTCTTAAATTAAAAAAAATAACATATATTTGTTATGCCTCTTAAAGATGTTAATAAAACTTCTGTCATTGGGTGCAAGGATGCACAATGTTTAATCCATAAGTTATTGTTTTCACTGGAAATATTTCTTCGAAAAGATGATGAACATTGCATCTCATAGAATGAACATGGTATATAATAGGATAAACATGATATTCAGTACGATGAACATGATAACTTATAGGATGAACATGATAACTTATAGGATGAACATGATACATGATAACTTATAGGATGAACAGGATACATGATAACTTATAGGATGAACATGATAACTTATAGGATGAACATGATACATGATAACTTATAGGATGAACAGGATACATGATAACTTATAGGATGAACATGATAACTTATAGGATGAACATGATAACTTATAGGATGAACATGATACATGATAACTTATAGGATGAACAGGATACATGATAACTTATAGGATGAACATGATAACTTATAGGATGAACATGATAACTTATAGGATGAACATGATACATGATAACTTATAGGATGAACATGATAACTTATAGGATGAACATGATAACTTAAAGGATGAACATGATAACTTATAGGATGAACATGATAACTTAAAGGATGAACATGAACATGATAAATTATAGGATGAACATGATATAGAACAGGATGAATAAAGTTTATGTTACATGACATTATTTACGCACTGTAAATATAATACACGCATATACATGTACTGAAAGAGGTATTTACCTGTAATGTAATAATCTATTGTTTTAGTCTCATTGTCTTCAACTCTTGTAGCTGGCAGAGTGAAGTTCTCTAGCATAAACGGGTATAACACATGTTCGTCAGCATCACACGTTGAATTACAATTGTAACGTAAACAGAAGTTAAGGCAAGGAAGACATGGTACACTCATATCTCTATAAGGGACTACTTCTGTGCCTAATATTGTAGTTCCGATACCAATTTCGTACTTGATTATTGGATTTTCGCCTCCACGGAATGGAGCACCATATCTGCAAAGTGCACCTGGTTCAGGTGGTAAAACTACTCTTCTGAAGAATGCCTTGGTGGAGTAAGGATTAAAATTGTCAACGACTGGCGGTAAATAGTTGTTTTTAGGGAAAACATGGAAGATAAGGTCTGTGTCTGTACTCAGATCACGTATACCACATACTTTACTCCACAATACACCGTCCACATACAAATAGAAGCACAATGATGGCTGTAAAATGAATAAAAATTCTTCAACAAATATTTAAGCCAATAGGGGGAAAAGGCTACAATTTAAAAGCTGTAGAAACAAAGTTATAATATACATTTTTTGAGAATAAACTTGAATAGCCAATTTGAGGCCAAGTAAATTCCTTTGTCAATATAAATATGAATAAAGGGATAGCTATCACATACATTGTACTTAATGTACATCAAATACAATTTCTTTGAAATTTGAAAACAACTAGAGCATGGTCTAAATAATTAGTATTACATTATAACAAAACAAAATCTTTAATTTGACAATTATTCTAAAAAAAAATCCCACCATAATGAACATGTGTACAACATATATGTATCAAATTCATGTGACCACAACATCATCGTATAAAAGAGGCAACAGCAGTAAACCAATGTTTAAATGTCATAAATCTATTCAGAACATGCAAATCAAGGTAAAAAAACATGAGGAAGTGGTATGGCTTTCTAATGGAGAGAACGTTGGTTCGACAACAGGGTAAGCATCACATGCTATGCGTGCACCATCCCACATGCAAATCCACACTCAGTCACAATTTACAAAACAACCAAGCATTCTGTGAGTATTGCATGGAAATACATTGTCCCCTACCGGTTAAAAATTCATTGTATAGGATCAAAACGATAACTTGATCTATAACTTGTAATGGTGTAAACTATATAACAAATATCAAGTCGATATCTTCAAGCATGAAGAAGAAAAAATGTGAAAAACTGATTTGCCGGACTAACAGAGTTGGTAGGGGACTCATTACCAGAACCACCCATCAAATTTGAAGATATTCAGACTCCCACATCAAACATTTCTTAAAAGATTAAAATCATTTCATATCATTATTTCCATAAAAATAGTGTAAAAAAACCAAGATAACTACTAACTTACAGTATTTTTTAAAACTTTTTTTACAAACTTACATTCACAGCTTCATCAGCTTCATAGTCAACAACAATCCTGTAAGTATGAAAATCAGCTGATGGGTCAAAAGTAAGGACATCTTTTATCACCTGTGGTGGTAATGTATCATTGAAGATTCTACACCACGTAACAACATGTGGGTCATCACCTATAAACAGATTTTTTAATAAAAATCATGCAGTCATGAAATGGTACAAGTTTTGTTGCTACTATGCAACACTAATTGCTAAATTAGATAAAGTGAAATATCTACATGTTATGCAAATTTTCACATAAAAATATGACCTTCCTATGGAATGGAATGGAATGGAATGGAATTGAAATGGAATGGAATTGGAAATGGAATGGAAATGGAAATGGAATGGGAATGGGAATGGGAATGGAATGGAATGGAATGGAATGGGAATGGAATGGGAATGGAATGGAATGGGATGGAAATGAAATGGAATGGGATGGAATGGAAATGGAATGGAAATGGAATGGACTGGAATAAGAATGGAATGAGTTGGAATGGATAAGTGGAATGGAGTGGAATAGAATGGAATGGAATGGAATGAAATGGAATCGAATGGAATGGAATGGGCAAATAGATTAAAAATAAATACTGTAAAATATAAATTTAGTTTAAATAAAATAAAATAAACATTACTTTTGAACATATTTTTATACAGAAGTACATACATATATATATAATTATACACACAAATACACATATATACACATAAACATACATATACATTTATACAAGAAAATTAAAATATATAAAATGAAAATAATGACCTTGACCTTAGCCTTAATCCCAGAATCCGCAGCAGCACTAGGACCATCCTTCATCTATGCAAATTTCAGTCGAATCGGAGAAAAAACATTTTCAAACCCAAAAACATTTTTCTCCGATTGGCTTACAAATTTGCACAGACAAAGGGCTGTCTCAGTGCTAATGGGGATTCTAGAGATAAATGCCCAAATCAAAAGTCAAGGTCATAATTTTGAATTTACATAATATATATATATTAATTATTTTTCAATAATTTAAATATAACAGATATGATTTATTACAATATAATATTGTATAATTTAATATAATTAATAAAATCTAATATATTAATATAATATGATATAAAATAATATAAAATAATATATCTTGAAAACTATAATATAAATTATTACAATAATGTATAATATAATATTATATAATATAATAGATATAATATAATAGATATAATATAACATATAAATATAATACAATACAATATAATATAATATAGTATATCAAATTATACTATAATAAATAAAAATATAATATAAAATTATATTACAATTTACAATATCATACATTTAATTACATTTAATTTAATTATGTGGTGTGGTGTGGTGTGGTGGAATTGGAATTGGAATTAAGCAATTGTAATGGATCAATGGAATGGAATCGATAAGTGGAATGGAATGCATAAGTGGAATGAAATGGATAAGTGGAATGGAATGAACATGGAAGGGACATGGAAGTGACATAGAATTTGAATGGAACTGAATGGAATTGGAATGGAACTGAATGTTATGGAATGTATAAGTGGAATGAAAAGGAACGGAATTGGACTGGAATGGAATTGAAATGGAATGGAATGGGATGGAATGGAAATGGAGTGGACTGGAAATGGACCGGAATAAGAATGGAATGAGTTGGAATGGATAAGTGGAATGGAAGGGAATATAATGGAATAGAATTGAATAGAATGGAATGAAAGGGAAAGAAATGGAATGAAATTGAATCGAATGGAATGGAATGGGCAAATAGAATAAAAATAAATACTGTAAAATATAAATTCAGTTAAAATACATAAAAGAAAGAGGCACAATGGCAGAAATTAGTAAAAACAAACCAAACAAAGGGAATACATTCATTTAGAATTTCTTGGAGTTCAGTATTTTTTTGTTATTTTGCAACAAAAAAAACATATTATAAGAAAATCTTACCTGCAAAAATTTCGATACCACACGACGCTTGGGCAGGCTGCATTGATAAACCAATAGGACCGATAACAGCTCCACCTTTAGGGTTTTTGACCACTTTGTAGGGAGATGACGTGCTATAATTAACAACAGGAACAGCTTCCGTTGTTGGTGCAACTATTGAACCGTTACCAAACTTTGCAGCTAAATATGCTGAACAGTTACAAGCAGTGCATGTCTAAAAATGGGGAGAAAAAATGTCAAACGTATTTGGCTAAGGATATTATTTTGTCATAAATATGGAAAGTCATGTAAAATTTTCAATTATTTGGTAAGATATCATTTCAGCTCAAAATTGGGAAATAAATTAAATGTTTAAAAATTTTGTGCAACTAGGTGGAACTGTTTTAGTAGACTAATAATGTACCTCATATCTGAGAAACAGGAAATATATGCCCTGAAATTTAGATTTTATTTAAACATTGTTGTATCATTCAAAATTATCAGTCAAAACTAGCATACAAGGGTCACCTGTCCTTCACTTCTCATATGATACCTAAATTACCAAAATATATTCTACATAGTTTTATATTCATAGCTATGCGTAGGAACAATTTTGTTTTAAATATGTACTACTTTCCAGTATCTTCGAATTCTCTTTAACTGTGCCCAATTTGGTGGTGTTACATCTAACAAAGTCTATCCCAATCATTCTTGCAAAGAATCCCGCTCAAGCCGGTGCCATCATAAATTTGCAGTGAGATGAGTTATTTTTTAGTTCTGTTGAATGCCTCATTGTGAGTTTGAGATGAAGAACAGCAATAATAGCGCTTTTCCTTCACTTATGTGTTTTTGCTGAGCATCTACTGATTTTGTGTTATGAATGGATGGATGCCACATATCCTTTGTTTTTCTATCAATGTATATCTTTCATTTAAAAAAAACTGTGATAAAGACCTGGGCACAACAAACAAATTCCAGTTCTGGTAAAGGTCTTGCCAAGGTAATAAAGACTATAATAAAGGGCGGGAATCTAAACTGTTTTCAATTATTCAGAAATATATGATGTAAGGGCAAGGGGAATAACAAAATAAATGGTGCACTAGAAAGGTTTAATCAGCGCAGTTCATAATCAAAGACCCTAAATATTAAGCAAGCATATATATCCAATGCCGCCTATGTAAAGGGGTTTATATTGACCTGATTGCACAGTACTTTTTTTTTATTAGTTTACAATATGATTGTATTTTATAATGATTTTAGATAGTTGTATAGTGGTACACACATTTTTTTTTCTTTTCTATTGACATTGAAAAGTGACATCAAAATCAGTAGGGACTTTGTGCCCATATATCCAAGTAGGTTGCAATCCCATATTCAGCATTTAAAAAAAATCTTTTCTACAGAAGTTTTGACTAAATTTGAAAGATGTATAACATTTTATGTTAAAGGGGTAGGACATGTTCCGGTGACAAAAAGAAAAAGTGCACTAAAAATGTCTAAAAAAAACTAATTACATGCATTTAAAATAAGGTCAAACGTAAATGGTTATATTCCTTGGTACACAGCACTTTCTCTGGAAATGTTATTAAATTAAACAACCTTTGTGAGCACGCTCACATACCTCACGCCCCCACATTGTCACTGGACAAACAAAATCTCACCAGATTCTTAAGTTCAAAGACTCATAACTCTACAAAAGTCAACTGATAAAACTTTTCTTGTGGATATGCACATTTACATATTATGTCCTCATTAACTACAACGTTTCATGAAATTTTGTAGTGTGGTTTCAGAGGAGTTGCGATAACAAACTGTCGCAGTAGAATATTGAGGCCAAAAAGTTCAAAGGGTCATAACTCCTAGAAAAAAATTTGAATCATAATTTTCTGTCGATATGCACATCTACATAGTATGTCCTTATTATCTACAAAGTTTCATTACATTCTGTTGTGTGGTTTCAGAGGAGTTGCGATGACAAACTGTTGCAGTAGTATATTGAGGCCAAAAAGTTCAGAGGGGCTAAACTCCTAGAAAAAAATTGAATCATAATTTCCTGTATATATGCACATCTACATAGTATGTCCTTATTATCTACAATATTTCATGAAATTCTGTTGTGTGGTTTCAGAGGAGTTGCAATGACAAACTGTTGCAGTAGTATTTTGAGGCCAATAAGTTCAAAGGGGCATAACTCCTAGAAAAATATTGAATCATAATTTCCTGTCGATATGCACATCTACATAGTATGTCCTTATTATCTACAAAATTTCATGAAATTATGTTGTGTGGTTTCAGAATAGTTGCGATGACAAACTGTTGCAGTAGTATATTGAAGCCAATAAGTTCAAAGGGACATAACTCCTAGAAAAAAAATTTGAATCATAATTTCCTGTCGATATGCACATCTTCATAGTATGTCCTTATTATCTACAAAGTTTCATGAAATTCTGTTGTGTGGTTTCAGAAGAGTTGCGATGACAAGAATAGGACTGACGGACTGACGGACGGACAGAAGGACACACAGACGGACGGACGGATGGGTCAAAAACATTATACCCTCCGCAACTTCGTTGCGTGGGGTATAATTAAGGATTTCAGTATATTACTTAATATTCTTTTTGTCAAATGTTTCACTAAAAGTATTGCATCTAGTATTTATTAATAGGGGTAGTCTTCTTCTTACAAATATACCAAAGTTAATACTAAAGTATAACAGGTTTAAAAATGAACATAACATGACTATAATGATGTTCATAATGTAAACTACAAATCAATTTTTGATACATCAATGCTGGTTTTTACCTAAGGCTGTTTATATGTAATGAATAGTCAAAATGAGTTCAAAGCAATTCCTAACAGGACAAAGGCAAAATTGAGATCTACATTTATCTTGTTAAGATAATACATTAATACTAATACTCTCATCTAAATAAAAGACATGGAAAATATGTATTTTTAAAATCAAACACTTAAAACATTGATAAAATTTTTGACAATTATGAGGTCCAAAATCCAGTTTTGACTTGAAAACTTTGTCACATGTGTGCTCTAGAGATGTATGCATCAATGAGACATCAGTTCAAAAATACAAAGGAAAAACTTCCAGAGGTATACTTACTACTGTTTATTATAATATATATATCAATAAATCGCCACCTTGAAATATTACTTTCTGCTAGTAAAAAATCTTTTATTCTCTGATCATTTGTTTTTTTAAGTTCCTTACAAAGGAAACCCCTTCAAACTTACATATTTAAGGTAAAGTTTAAAGGGCATTATACTTACTGTTGGAATCGGATTTTCAAAGCAGCAATAACAGACAGTGACAGACCAGTCAGTCTCTTGAACATGATCGTATGGCATTATTTCACCCTCTGGTCCATCCCATAACATCACAGAGGTTGCTGCCATGCCTTTACCACTGGCAGCCTTTATTTCAAACTGTAAGTTAAAATAAGTTCTCTATTTGCTGTTTAAGTCAAAATAGTTTAAAAAAACAACTTAATTTATTTCATTAGCTGTTTCCTGAAGTTTCAGGGAAATAAAAATGAATCCACAGTACTTATTACCCAGTCACAGACTCTTAATTCTGAAAACCTATATGAGGCATTTTACTTTTCAACTGTTATACCATACTGAACTAACCTCCCATTCTCCTCCTCTTTCATAGTCAGCTTTTCGATAGTATCCTCCAGAATACATAGCGTTCAAATTTGTGTCTCTTGCCAACTTGATCCATAGTTCATCATCAACAATTTCATGTCCAATATTTTCTGTACGCATCTTAATGAGCCAGTTCTGTCCTGTAGGATCTCTGAAGCCTATTTGCTGAAGGATCTTCCAGTTGGTATCATTTACAATTGGCACTGGACGTGAAGGACATGCCATTCCAAATGGACTTTCCATATGAAGGATAGATCCTGAAAAAAATTATTTTATCAGGCATATGCAATACTCTACCTATAAGAATGAAGCAATGATTTATAGCTCCTACAACATCATACTTTTTGATTATCTATACAATATTTGCACAGTGTAAAAATACAAAGACGGCCTTTAGAAACAGAGAGAAAAGCCAGGCTTGCTGAGATTTTCTCCTTGTTCGTAGCTATATAGCAAGTACAAATAAATTTTATATTTTCCTACACTATGAATATTATGTTCATCCTTCAGTTTAACATTGAAAAAAAATTCGGAAACTACATGTATTGTGTGCATTTACCATTGCGATATTTTAAAAATGGACAAATATGCTTGAATAATTTTTGCGATTTTCGAGAAAAAAATTGCATACAAATCGATATATTTATCAGAAATAAGAATGCGAGTTCTTATTCTTGCGATACTCACAAAATTGCATAAACCTCGCAATAATTTCTGCATTTTTTTCCATCCAAAACATTGAATTAGTTTTTGAATGAAATTGACATGACTTAACTATGAACTTTGGTATGTTATTGGAACATAAACGTTTGCTCATAACAGAAGCAAAATACCAGCAGACTTTAAACGTACACTATACGTTTATTGCTTCATGTTATATGTCATATATATTTGTATAGTCGAAAGGTCGATAAATAGTCAAGTTTGTTAATCCCAGATAGATGGGTCTGTTGGCTGTGATGGATGTATAAATAAATATGCAGACATGTCTAGTTGGAATAAGGATATTCATTCTTATGCATAAAGTAACAAAAGTGCTTTGCTCTCAGCATTATGAAAATCCCTTGCAACAACTCTTGATACATGTAATAGTAGGTAACGCTATTTCGTAAGATCATACAAGTGCCTGTACACTTTGACGTCGCAATTAAAAAGTGATTCTTGCTGGACATCAGAAGGTTATTCGGAGCAGATTTACGGTCATTTTGAGACAAAATTTACCTAAATACCAAAATTGTAAATACGTTTATATTTGGCAGTGAAAGTAAAGCAGACAGTCAGTTAAGTATGTGTTACAGAATCAATGATCTAGAATTTGAGTAACTTGTGCACCTTGTAAATGGGATTAAATATTTCCAATGGTTACAAAAATATATATCATTATTTGTTGAACAATTAATGATTTAGTAATATACCACAGCTATCCTTTGACGCATTCCCCATTTCCATTCTCATTTTTTTTTTATTTTTTTTTTTACAAACTTACCTTTTGCACTGTTGGGAGAATTAAACCAAACACGATCTTTCTTGAAATCCCAGCCATCAACAACTTTTCCAGGAGTTGGTTTGGTCATATCTAATAGTATTGGTACAGATTCATCTGTTATGGAGATACCTGCTCCATTTGTGATAATAAACTTCACACTCAAAGGTTCTGATTTCTATAAATAATTCAAATGTCATTATATCAACCTTTTACTTTTAGTCTATAAGTATCACACTACATACCCTCTAAATTAAAAGCAAGTGTTCACATAATTCATTTCTTTTGTGTAATATCTTATAAACTGTAGCCTTTTCATCTAAATTTGGGTTTTTAATGTAAAATTAGAATAACAGGTAAAAAAGCTTTTGTGAGACCTCGAAATAGAAAGTTTTATCCTTTTTCTTTTATTTAACTATTGTTAATCAATAAAAAATCACCAAAAAAATAATTGTGCTTTGGTATTGGCTGTAATCAAAGGGAGACAATTCAATCTCAATCTCAATGTGTTTTAATCACAGGAGCGATAAATCTTGTTACACGAGGAGTTATCTCATCAACTATAGTCTATTTTTTAAAACATCTTCTAGGTATTTAGTTTGCTTACCCATGTTTTATAATTATTTCCTCACTTTGGAACCGCAAAGTAAACTTTGATAAAAACCTTTATTTATTTGCTATGTAATCTTTGTGGATTAAAATAAAAAGATTCATTATAGGGTAATAAGGGCGCCATCAAATAAATATAAAAAAGAAGATGTGGTATGATTGCCAATGAGACAACTCTCCACAAGAGACCAAATGACACAGAAATTAACAGTCACCGTACGGCCTTCAACAATGACAATTTAAGACATTGAAACATTCAAAATTAAATTGAGTGTATGAAAGTCTAATTCTTTTTCAATTTATTCCATAGAAAATTTTAAAAGTCACTATGAATTTATTGCAAGAATATTTATTGAAAGAGCACATTTTTATTATTTTGACAACACATTTGTGAAGAGATATTTTGTATTGTTCTTTTATGCGTTGAGGCCATTTATATAGTTGACAGTAAAAAATACGCATGGGAGTTAAAAACGAGATATGTTTAAAAAAATGACCATTATTAAAGCAAACGTCCTGAATCGTAATATTTGCATATTGGAAACAAACCAAGTAGTATAACATATTTTGTGGCCAAATAACGGGTTGTTAATGGGTGCGAGTCATTGTGACACTGATAAGGGGGTGGACAGAATTATGGAAACTATGGAATGAGAGGGCTAGAAATGGGAATTGGATAGATGAAAGCTGGAGTCAGGGTGGTGTTAACCGTGGGGAAAGGGTCGTTAAAACAGGGTTAATTCATGTTGACGAAAACATAGGAGTGCAGAGGAACAGAATACGGAATGAAGTAGGAGTTTGGGGAGGGAACTGGGAATCAATGCTCCCTGTCCACCCCCTTACTGATAGCCATAAAAGAAAAGGGGTTGGGGGGGGGTCATGTTTGTAGGAGGAGCAATTCTGCAGGGGATGCGGACAACAGCTTGTTCTAGTTTGTCAACTGATAAATAAGAAGACGATTGATGCCTAATGTAATAGCGCTATCAAATAAAAAAGAAAAAAAAACTAAAAAAAAAAAAAAAAAAATGAAAACAATATTCAATTTATTCAATAAATACAATTTGTATCATGTAGACCAAAAGTAGAGAAATGGAGCATTGAATGCCTGCAATAATTGTCCGTTTTAAGAACGCATATGGCAGATGCACTAACCTCATAGGGAGATTTTGGTAGAACACAGCTTTCCATGGCTAGACTGAACATCAGTCCACAGCCAATTCATCGGTGATGATGGAAGTTTAAAACCATCTTGACAGGCTATAAAGCCTTCGCTAAGTTAACACTACATAGCGCCTTAGAGTGTTTTAAGAATTTAAATCGATAATGTAATTCCAAACAACTTATATAAAATGATTAAGTCTTTCAACAAAGGTTATAAATGATTAGCAAGGATGCAAATACTAAACTTTAGAATATAAATAAATATCTTTAACAAATGAATTCAAAATAGCAATATCTATTCAATTTAACAAATATGTACAGAATAAGTGTCATGTAAATCGTTAAATATAGAAACACGCAATTTCAATTTTTAAACAAGGGAAATAACAATTACATGATAATCATATCTGCCAAATGTATTTTAATAGAAACAATTTGTTTTTATAAACAATTACTAATTAGAAAAAAAAAACACACACACACACACCGAAGATAACATGAGTTTTAGTTGCAACAACTTTATTGTTAATAAACAACTGCCAACCTGTACAAGAAATAAACACTGGTTTGGAACAAACTATACACTATGAACGACAACTCGACCAAGTATGTTACTCTAATTTGTTGATAATATAAACAAACATTGATTTAAAAAAAGCGGTAATAAGTAGCAAATAATAAAAATCAGAATGTCGTAGTAAAAATCATCAGGAAATTGATCTGCTTTGCCGCCCGGAGATGCCGATAAGTGAACTTGTACAAAATCATGTTTTCAGGGGAAGTGATGAATTGTCCTTGCCAAAATAACAATTAATTCAGGTATCTAACATTGCTGACATATAATGATACCACGATAATACATTGATAATACTGTCTTGTTAAATATATTTATTGTCAAAGAATGCAGCAATAGTCTCGTCATCGACGGCAAAGAAAAAACCATGATGATAAAGCATGCAATTTCGGAAATTGACCGTCTCCGAAAATATAAAATTCTAAAATTGAGTTATCGTCCTTTTCGCGCCAGACGACTATTGAAAAGGCTATAAACTGATTATGACATTATAGAAAAAGTGCATGAAACAGAACTTTCAGGATTTTTTCTATGTCCACAACTTCTGCAAAAGGTATCCCCAGGGTATTATGACCCCGGGGTCATTTTCACACACCCCTGTTATAGAAAAATAGTATTGCAGATTATATAATGTACAATATGTTGGCTATGATTTTTTTCTTAATTGGAGGTCTATAGTAGGGTAGGGACCCATCCCTAGATTTTCCATGGTCTATGATGGAAAATTCATGGACTTCCATGAATATTTTTCCATGGAAGTCCATGAAGTAATGGAACCTAAAACGGAAAATAAACCGAGAAAAAAATGAAATAATATTTCCATTTAAAACATTTTCCATGGAATTCCATGGAAATATTGACCCATGGAATACCATGGAAATATATTCCATGATGTTTCTGTTTCCATGGAAATATTTCTATCATTTTCATTTAAAATGGATTGCTCAAATTAACCTAGCAGAATCCCCTGTTTTAACACATCTGTAATAATGACTATAAAAACTAGGTGCGATGCATTGTTTCAGTTTGGTAAGGTCTTTTGGGTCTTGTACTGGTCAGTAAAAGCAATAAGACTCAACCATCATTTTAACCTTTAATTCAGATTAATTTGATGTATTGTGATAAATACAATAAACATGCAAAAACTTCGTTATATGTTTGCACTGCCTTTATATCAAGAAATTAGGGTTATAAATGTCATTTTTGTCACCATGACTTCAGTAGACCCATCTCGTAGAACAGCATTAACCTTTTTTTTTGGAGTTTCATTTATTCCTCATGATACCTTAAATATATCATTTTACTGTAATAAATAATTAAATGTTCTTTAAATAATGTCATTAACACAATTATGGTAAACAACTGTAGCGAGTGATATGTTTATTTGATTCTTATTTTATGGGGAAAACTCATGCACTCAAAAGAAATCTGTTTTATTAACAAATGAAAATGTTAATTTGGAATGTGTGATGTCTAACCAAATATTCATTCCCCCTCAAAACCCTGGATTCACAACTGGTGTTTAATTGTAGAATATATTTAACCTCATTTCAGTGTTATATATGTACCAGTCCTAAGAAACTGATGCATGAAGCTTAGAGGTTGTTCTGGCCTTAGTCTTAAATATTTGTTTTTCATTAAACATTGTACATATATATGTCATGATAGGTCTTGTCTATGTTTTAGATCTTAATTTTGATCTGTAGTTTGTTATTAAGCTACACTTTTTTAATTTTACATGTTTTATGGATGTGTGTCTCATTGGCAACCATTCCACATATCTTTAATTTTAAAACCAAAAAACTTCATAAGTTATTATAATACATTATGCAGTTTGTCTTGTCTTACACAATCATCATAATTATATGTATAAATCTTCTATCTAGGTCTTTTCTTGTCTCTTATTGTCATCATGTTATTATGTTGAACTAAAGGAGCTTGTACACATTACAATGGTTGAATCTAATTCAGTGTACTTACCAAAAGATATGCTGCTAAATCCAACAGTCAATGCAAATCATCAGAGAATAAATTTGCACTATTTAATGTCACGAACTATTTGGAACTATTTCATCTGCATTCAATGTAAAATTTCAGGAGAGAACACATCTTTGCTTGTTGCCTGCATATCCATTTAATTTGCAAGTTCAAATTCTAAATGTGTTGGGGTTTGTATAAGGAGTTGTCTAATGTCTTTGAAAAGTGCCCCAATTGAATACTGTTAATTACCTATATCTTGAATATTTTAAATATATTATAATAAAAAATTATCCTTTTATTGTTTATTTACCATCTTTATGTTTTAAGTTGTAATAATTGCACAAAAATGTGAAAATTCATGTGCTCCCCTTCATTTGGCCACACACTCTATAGTTCACATCACTTCCTTTCCCCTACACAAAGATTAATGAAAAACAGATGGCACATTACATTTCTTTCATTGGCTCACATGTCTAATTGATGATCTTCCATCCTTAAAATATTCAAGATTCCATCCTCTTTTCCATCTACAATGTTTTCTTAGTCTACTTTCCATTCCATTTTTCATCTAAACAGTATTTTTTCCATAAAATTCCATTTTCCATCTTATCATGGAAAATTAAGGAAAATGTGACCGTATGAGTTTTCCATCAGTGATGGAATATTTTTCCACGAAATTCCAGGGAATTCAATGGAAAACAACGAAATATCCAGCATTTTCTATCATTTTGTCATGGAAAAAGTTGAGCTGATTGGAAAACCTGGGATGGGGTTCAATATACCATGGCAGGTGGGTCAAAATACATGGCTAAGTAAAATGTTTAAAACATCTTTTCCAGCATGTTAAATAAATAAAAACTACCTATTCGAGTAGTATTACTATGTAAAGGAGTTAGAATAGCTAGAATTTTTAAAAATAAGAGGTCTATATTAGGGGGTTCAATAAACCATGGCAGGGGGTCAAAATACCATGACTAAGTAAATTTTTCAAAACATCTTTTCAAGCATATTAAATACATACAAATTACTTATTGGAGTATTATTACTTCTTATCAAACAGTCCTTAAAATGTTTTATACACTTACATTTAAAGTTAGATCTATGAAACTATAATCTGTATAGTTATTTGTCAAGGTTATCCAGCTAACGACCATCTCAGACTCAGCAACTTCTGAACATGATTTATTTCTCCACAGTGATACTTCATATGTGGCTATATCAGAAATGTTGTCAAAATATCCCTCCCAATACACATATACTGAGGTATTGGCTGGATTGTAAGTCACAGGCTGAAATGTAAAGAATTTTATTTTAAATTCAGACAGATGAATACATATGTATCAAAATATGTTTTCACTGAGCATATTGGAAGATCATATATTGAAGGGAATCAACATTTAAAAAACTGCATTTTCCAAAGAATTGATATGATAAATATAGAACATCAAGTCACCGAACATAGATATCTAAAAGAAGTTTTTGCACACTGCAGTGTGGTTTAAAACATATTTAATTGTGATGTGTACATCTTGTGTTATTTCCAAACCAACTAAGGTCTTATTACAATTCATAGTTAATTTGGAAGTTACAAATAAACTGGACAAAGTGATGCCCCTGCACTCCACTCTGAAGTAACTGTATTATAACAAAGTCAATGTAGGACTTTCTTTGCGACATTATTGTGTCTTGTAGACACAAATGATACCCCAGCAGATGCAAATTGTTTTTTTTTAAATACACAAAGTTGAGCATAGGAGCACATAGGTCTATGGTTCACTGTGAGAGAGTTATCGCTATATATACCTCTTATGCAAGTATATACTCCAAAAATGACAAAGTTCAACTTTCTCCCAAAAGAGCAAATGTTAATAAAAATCAAAACCCTGACCACATGCACCTTAAAAATAATTACAAACAGCCAGCAAAGTGAAAACTTTCTAGCATTAAAACTGTAAGAGGAGTTAATAGGAAACGCTATGCACCTCTTACGCAAGTAAATACTAAAAAAAACTTACAAAGTTTAACAATCTCTAAAAGGAGTAAATATCAAAACCCTGACCACATGTACACCTTCATTATATGTTCAAACAGCCAGAAAAGTAAAAACTTCCTAGCATTCAAACAGTAAGAGGCAGAGCTGCCAAGCGTGAGACTCACGCTTGTTTATGCTTATTTGGTGGCATTTACCTTTGATCTTTACAATTTTGACCAAATCTCACGCATTTGCTTCATGAAAAGTTGGCAGAACTAAGGAGTTATCTGGAATAACTATATAATGGGACGAAAGGACAGGGGTAAAACAATATACAGGGACATTAAAATGAATGTTCTCTAGTAAAATATAAGTGCAACCATAAATATACAAACCATATCAAAATAGGGTCCAGTTTTTATCCTGCCTTTGTCTGGTGGTGTGAAGTCCACAATGAATTCATGCATGACCATACCACAAGCTCCAGATTTATCAGTACCTATTTAAGATAGATTCAAAGAGTGGAGTTTGAAATTAACTCTTGTCACTGAATACATGTATATCTTTCTTGCATGAGACTAAACTTCGCCATAAAGGGGCCCTGTGTTTACAATGTTCAATCGTTCAGGGATAAACTGTGGACTCTATTATAACAAAAAAAACTATTTTCTATGTTTAGCACATTAGTTACATTCTTAATCATTCCACAGACAACAAGAGGCTGTCAGAGTGCCAGCAAACCTGATTTCCCTGCAGACGTCGAACCCTGAACAGTTGAGCAAGTATGGACACAACATTTAAGCTTAAAACAGCTCTGAATTTGGATTGTGATTGAATATTTGATACAGCATAGGTTTGCGACAAAAAATAAATGTCAAAGTCAAAGATCTGAAAAATTTGAAATTGGACATTTACCTTTTATGGTCCAATATCCAAAGTCGAATAACATAACTACAATTAGCATATCAAAGAACCCCAAGAATTCAATTTTTGTTGAAATACTTCTTAGTTAAACCATTTCTGTTCAAAGGGAAATAACCCAAACTTTATTTCCATGAACCAATAATGTAAATCTAAAATTAGATATGATTTGACCATAGGTCTCTAAAATTAGATATGATGAAATCAGATATGATGTTAAATGTATTTTCAAATTATTACCAAAAATAATTTTTAGTTTTCAAATAAATCTTTCACTCCAATTATTGGGTGATTGACAATTGCCAGATGGTATGTTATCTTGATAAAAGGTGAAAATCATTTAAAACACTTGGTGTAATCAAACTTTATATATATAGTTAATTGTTCCCAATATTTTTTCTTTCATTTGTAAACAAACTAATAGATCTGCATCTTATCTATGAATGTCAACAACTTTATCAACACAATGTTATGAAATGAAAAATATCCTTTTATAAAAATAGATGATTATCTAATGAATTTGCAAATCTGGAACCCTAAACAGGATCAAGTAAAATTAAAATAAACACACACAACAAAAATAAAACACCACATAACAACTGTGACATCTACCTTCTAAACACACTTGACTTAAAACAAAAATAGTTTTAAAGAAACTCCTGACTAATAAATTGAAGAGATATAATCATTAATAGACTATCTATACATAAACGTATTAGTTTCTGTACAAAGGGAAATAACTCAAAAACATAATGAGCATCAATAATAAGCTACCAAAAGCGTCCAGAAATCAATAACGAGAAAGGCTAAAGCCGCGAAAATTGAACTTGACCTCAATTTAGTCACAGAAAACAACATATATAAATTAAAAAAAACAAAATTCAAAGCATTTTCCTGAAAATTAACGGAGACTGTTTGGCAATTGGTTCACTTGTTCACCATTTTTTTTTTATATTTTGGGGTTTTATTTTTCCAATGTCCCAAATATACCCCTTCAGTCTTCTCATAATTTATCCTAGCTCTTGATGCCCGCTAGTATATTCCTAAAGCTGTAAATGTTTCCTCGAATGATTCCTCTGTTCTATCAAAAAATTGTGTATCGTCTGCAAACATGTTTATTTTAACCTCTTTGTTTTCATTTTCTGTGTTGGGTTGAGGTAAATTACTTCCATGAATTTTTGAATTAGTCCTTATTTGGCGGGAAATGATTCTCTCTTGATTTTAATAATTTAATATTGCCACCTTTTTTCTTTCTAAAACTATGGAAAAAAACATGGATTTATAAGATTTTCAAAAATGGCTTTTAAACTACTAGTATATTTAATAAAATTATGAAAAGAAAAGTAAGTATTGCGATCATTTTTTTCAACTGGCATTTTGACAAAACATTTAAACTAGAGGATTCAGAGAATTTGAGAAAAATATTTAAAACAAGAGGAGCGAACATCCGTATTTATTCGGAATCAAACAAGAAATTGATAGACCACTTTCAACAGAGAGTCCCATAAAACCTGAAAAAAATCAATAATCTGAATAATTCAACGCTTATTGTTATACAATTATAACACAATATGATGTGTCACAATGTTCCGTAACAAGCCAAGTAGACTGTTAATTGCAAAATTGTAATTTTGGTCCAAAATTCATAACAATTACAGAAAAATCGTAGCAGTTGGTATGTATGAACTCCTTCGGTTAGACTAGACTTACCCATAACATACACATAATATGAAGCTCCCTGTATCAGATCGAGATCTTTCATTGTGATGAACGTGTACTTGTTTATATTGGTGGCATCATAATCTGTAAATAATTGCTTCTTCTTTTCGACTGAAGCTGAACCACCATCGATCTGTGCAAAAAGAAAGATAAGCAAAATTCATGCCTTAAAAAGGATGAGGTTATGATTAAGACATAATAAAAGTGGATGAGATGGAAATTTTATGCTTAATGTTTGAAGTAAGGACTTAGAAATGAACTTTGAGACATACTGTCAGCATAGTTATATAACAAATTGTCAATACCTAGTGGTTAACGTCAATGCTGTTGATACTTTCCTTTAGCAATTATTCTGGATTACTGAGATTTGATAAAAATATATTACTTCGGTCAGCCAAATTCACAGGCATAAATGCTATGCATTAATAATCTCAATCTATTTTACTTCATTCTAAGCAAGCATTTAAACCTTAAAAAAAAGGTTTATATAAAGACCTTTGGGAGCTTTAGGGCTTGACATATTTAATACAAAAGTTACTTTTCTTAAAATCAAAGCACTGTAAGCGCTATAGGCAGTTAATCAAAAACATGATGAAAACTGTGGCAGTGTTGCTTAAATTGTTTATCACAGCTTGTTATATCTCAGATGTTTCAGATTTTTTTTTGTCATGTGCTGTACTGATTCCCACTATCTTACACACTTTTCTCTAACAATATACCATTTTTTCAAACGTTTATTATTCATTTTTAAATTACTCTAAAATATGTATCCTTTCGATGATTGAATGTCTGAGAAGATGCATGTACACTATCCCAGGTAAGGGGAAGGTTTGGCGCCAGTAAACATGTTTAACCCTGCCAGATTACGTGTGTGTCTGTCCAAAGTCATTCAGTGGTTGTCATTTGTTGTTGTATATCATATTTATTTTTCATTATTGATTTGTACATTAATCAGGACGCTGGTTTTCTTGTTGGAATTGTTTTACATTTGTCATTTCAAGGCCATTTACAGCTTTATACTAAGCAGTATGGGTTTTGCACATTGTTACAGGCCGTATGTGACATACAGATGCTTACTTCTATCAACTTCTCAATACACTGATGAATGAATTTTTCTAATGCAGGAATAATATCATTCGAATTAATGTTTTCCACAGTGGTGTATAGTTTAATTCCACTATGTTCTAAGAGTTTTCATATGCCACATTAGCATTTTTAGTTAGATCAGCATGTGTCACTCCGTACAAAAACTGATTTAATAATACTGGGAACAATCTGAGGTGTGGTAATTTTATTGTTTATCATACATGGATCATATTACACAAAAAGATTATGTAGTTGGGCTAGAAATGCTTTTAATTTTCTTTTACATTATTGTACTTTTAAGTGTCCAACCTAATACATTTACATCAAATTTCATACACAAATATTTTGTCTGTCTTTTTTTAATATGTTTATATTCTTCATTTCTTACATACTTTATAAAACATATTTCATGTATCTGCACATTGTATCCCCATTATTTATTCAAACTATCTTTATATAACTGATACCTGGGTTACTACTTGTATACATGTATATATTGATAGTGTGCAATAATACGATGTACATGTATCTCCCACATTTTATAGTAACAGTTGCACAGACATATCATAGTTCTGATATTATCATTAGACAGCCTCTAACAATAGCTGGACCGTTATAGTAAACTCCATGACAAGTTATATTCATGTGTTGTAACCCCTGGCAATTTTGTAAAAATTCTGTCAGAATTCTGAACCAAAATTTGTCTGACTAGTCGTCATATGATAAGACCTTGTAAACATTTTCATAGTACATGTATTTTGATCATATCTGTAGATATACATGTATAAATATATTCAAAACATCTAAAAGGTCTAAAGTTTCATAGCGGTCATGGAATTATTATGATGACTAGTCAATGAGGCTACTAGATAGTATCATGTATTGTACATGTATGTCTTGTCACTTCTAGGATATTAAAGCCAAGAATTGGAATCTAGCTGAAATAAAAACAAATACAAATATTTATATTGTTTATTTAGACATACAATCATGAGAAAATATATTTACACAAGTTTTGTCCATGAAATTGAAAAGAAATCATTATGGGATCATGGGATATTCTTTTTGTAGGGTCAGATCAAAGTTTGATTTTCGACAAATCAAAAAGATGAGCAGTTTGAGAGTCAGAGAGATAAAATTATGTTAAATTTTATTTCTTTCATTCAATTTTATACATACATGTACAATGTACATGTCATTTAATATAATATGCTCTAGTCTGCCTCTGTTGTAAGTTGACACATGGTCTCTGATAGGTCTATCATACAGAATTATATTGTGAATACCAAAATTTAGTAGTTAATGTTGATTTGAGTTGACTTTTAGTGGTATCAGTTGGTTGGTGTGGTACGACTTTGCAATAGTGTGAGTTGACTTGCTTCCCTGTGGAGAACACTGAGTTTGTTCAATTTAAGTTCTACGGTACAATGACACAAATCAGATAATGCCTTACTATTACGGCAATTAAAGGTGAGGTCTGATTGACCTGCCTTTAGTAAATGTAAATGACCCGCCCCCTACAAGTCCATGATGTTACTTGAGATCTATACCAAGATTGGAATAAATAAATGGTTGGTCAAACATTCTTGGACTTTACACTTATTGAAAGATATAGCTTCTTTAAAATTAGCCATAAATGTAGATTGTCTTTAGGCCCAGAAATAAAAAAAAGTCTGGTTTAAAAAAATGTCATAAACATTGAAATGTCAAAGTCCGACCACTGGCACTTGTTTTTATGCATGGGAAGATCCACTATCAACGTTTATTATGAGCTCCTAAATCTTCCCATGGATATAAACAAAGTGCCTGAGAGTCGGACACTGGCTTCATGTCATGATCAAGATAATGTAGATCGAATTCTTCTACATATATTTCCCAATTCACATTTGCTCTTAATTGATTTTCGCTGATTTTATACATTTTTCAGACATCCGTACCTGTAATATTTGAATGGGTTTTCTACATTTTCCTGTGACTTACTATGATCACATGATCTTTCTAGGTCTAATATCCATATCACATTCTACTGTCATTCTCGGCAAAATTGACATATTTACAAGGTCTCACTAATTAGAGACAAGAAGCGACAAGAAGCGTCAAGAAGTACGTAGGGCTTCTAAAGGCAACAGAATTTAAAACTTTACAAAACAGAACAAAAACTGTGATAAATTGACTTTTCTTTAAATTTATTATTTTAATAGTATATAAACTTTCTCGTCTCTAAATTTACCCTCTTGTCGCAAATTCATTCTTCCTGTCGCTAACTTTTTTCTACTGGTCGCTTTTTGTCTCTTCAATCTTCTTGTCCCTTATTAGTGATACCTTCTTGATTTCTGGTATTATTTCATTCATAAATAACAAGTGTAAACACCACCTGTTGGTGCATTTAATAACACTTGACAAGGTCATTTATGTGAAAAACGGAATAATATAAAAGGAAGAAATTCAAATGTGAATACACAATTTATTAACACTCATCTCAAACAAAAAGAATATCATGATTAACAATAATTACCTTTCTATCAGAATCCTCCAAATTCAAAAGGTACGTAAATTTCGTCTTCTAAGTTAAAATTGCGGCCAACTTAGACTACTGTAAAACGTATTGCCGCGTAACAATATTCCTACGACTTTTGTCATTTTGGAAATGTAAACGACTTGCCTTTAGAGATTTTCGGCGATTAAATATTTCATACAATTGTTCTTAGACATCCTAGCCAAAAGTACAGGGGAAAATAAATTACGTAAGGATTTCTATTGAGCACTACTTCCTATGTGCAACTTCAAAACTTTTGGGTTGTTCGACGATCATTTAAGGTTTTTCTGGTCATATTTTTTGTATTCAAGAATTGAAAGTATGAAAAAAGTGCCCAATTAGTTATTAATAACATATTAGCCTGCTAGATAATAACAATAGCACTTTTTTCACCATTCAGTGGAAAGAACACAAATCTAGGGTGGTAGCATAATGCAGCTTAACAGCCTAAAAATGTATGTTGATATAGGTAGCCTTTGGTTGGTGTCCTATCATTGAATAACCCAAATTTCAACTTGAACTTGAAATTAAGGATATTACTGATCCTGATACTAGCAGGACTGCTTAATCTTTTACTCAATATTAACACAGATGGACGACTTCACACAAGACAATATATAACAAACAGGATGTAATCATTTTGCCAATTTCTCAGCAGTTACATACCCTCTGTTCCGTCGTATTGTGTTTACATATCTCAATTGATATGTTATGCTCGTGCATGTTCATACTATACGAACTTCATATACAAGAGTGTGCTCCTTAAGCAGAAACTGCTCCAATAGAGTTATGAGGAGGAAAGATAGACTAAAGAGCCTGTATCGCTCACCTTGGTCTTTGTGCATATCAAACAAAGGACCATCTCCAACATTGAAGACGAGAATAGATTTCATGACAAAAATCTCGATTTTTTTTATCTTGTATTACTGATCTTTTTGTCTGTTTAGTTTCTCTCTATCTTATTTAGTTTTTGCTCAAAACACAAAAGAGAGTAAAAAAAACCTCATTTAAGGGCAATCACTCCTATGAGGAGTGACAGTCTACCAACTATGTTGGCAAAATTTGCCGATAATTTTTGTGATTTAAAGTGTTCATTTATCTATTATAATTTTAATCATATAAGGCATAACGAAAAAGAAAATGTTTATCTCTATTCTCTAAATATCATAGTTTAATTAAAATAGGCTAAACTGAAAAAAAATGGTAAAATTTGTCATTTTAAAATAACTCCTTTACAATTTGTTTAACGGTTTAGACATATATGGAGAAATGGTAGAGCTCATTATTCTGAATATTTTTGCTTCTTTCAGATTTTCTCTATTCATAACGGTTCAAAAAATAATAGACAAAACTTGCATTTTACCCCTATGTTCTATTTTTGGCCATGTCTACCATGTTGGTTGGTAAGCATTGTAATCGGACACATTTTTTTACAAGATACCCATATGATGAGTGTGGCCAAGTTTGGTTAAATTTGTGTCAGTATTTTCAGAGGAGAAGATTTTTGTAAAAGATAACAAATATTTACAAAAATTGTTAAAAATTCACTATAAAGAACAATAACTCCTTATGGGCTCAACAGAATATTTTGATCATGTTGCCTTATTTGTAGATCTTACTTTGCTGTGTACAGTTTATCTCTATCTATTTTAATATTCAAGATAATAACCAAAAACTGCCGAATCTTCCTAAAATTACCAATTCAGGGGCACCAACCCTATAAAGGGATGTCTGATGCGTCTGAAAATGTAAGGGAAGATAGAAATTGACCTGATGAACATTTTTACCTTTTCTCAGATTTGCTCTTAATTTTTTGTTACTTTTGTAAGTTTGGTTGAATATTGTGTTATGTCTTAGGTTTGAGTTCTGTGTTTTGAGTTCTGTGTTTTCGATGCATTTTACGTTTGTCTTATTTATCAGTAAATATTAGTCGAGTTAATTTTATCAATAATTAGGACGTCGTCACAGCATTAAGTTAGAATAGCCTTTCAAGACCGTCATTTTCAAGATAATCATTTGGACTAGTTTTGTGAAAATAATTGCAAATTTATGAACTCGTTCCAAATAATTGTATGAATTTCAAGATTAAATCAATGCCACAAAAATACATCTCTGTTTGTGGTGTCCTGTGCTGTGGTTAATGGGAGATGTGTGTTGTTATTCTACTGCTTACATGTTGTAATGTACCATTATATTATCTATTTTTGCATTTTTCAGTGCTGAGTGTACTTGTTTTTGTTTGTATTGTATTCCTGTCACGTATTGTTCTCATTTTAGCGATATATGGCAGTTGTTATCAAATAGTCCGTTTTTATGTATGTTGGCGTTTTGTTGCATTTCAGTGTTTCTGTTGTTTTACTCTTATAGTGTGTTTCCTCGGTTTTGTATTGTTGTCTATATATACGGATGTCTTTAATCCCCTTTTAAGATGTTCTAACGAATTACTTACATATGCTTTACAGTTAGTATTATTGGCATCAGAGTTGTTTGACAAAGCCACGTAATACATCAAGATATCTAACTTGGAACTAAATCCTTCAAACTGAATATCTAAATAGGTGTCTGTAGCAATGTATTTCTGCATCAAAATAATTCCAGCTGTAATGCAAATAATTAAGGTTACATAAATAATGAAATCATTTATAATAGTTTAAATCAAATTATGATGTTTATACTTTATTTGACAACAATACAAACATGTTTAAATCATTATGGTCACATTGTATTAATTTCATAACTATTTTCTACTTTTGTGTTATCATAGAATTTTGTAATCAAGATCATCCAGACATTACTCTTACCTGTGACTCCTTCATCAAATCCGACCTTGAAACCATTTGAGGTGACTGTTGCTATAGAGTATGAGGCACTGTATGCCTTAACTGTAAAGTAGTAGTTACCAGTTAATGGGGTTAACTCAAGATCATAGAAAATGACTGTTTTGTTTAGTCCTACATTTGTAAAAGGAACAACATCATCCCTGGTCTTGGGGAATCTTCTGTCTGTTCCCACGGCAACCTCATAGAATACTACGTCCTGGGTAGGATTTTGTGCCTCCAACTGTGATTGGTCAACTTGCAATCCAGGGTTTCCTACAAAATATTCAGTAAATCAAAATCATGCCATAGAAGTAATGGCCAGATTATTTGTCCTTTTTTATTTTTATCAATATGACCAATGAAGTTTTCCAATATAAATAGTTTAATGCATTCTATTTCTTTTTCATAGAATATTTCATCACTTAACTTCATCATCATTATAACAAACATGTTTGACTATACTATCATAAAAATAAAAGGAAAATGTGTCCAAGGGACACAGATGATGCCCCCGCGGTCCGTGTAACACTTATCAATTCAAAATTTTAAAAAGTTTTCAATTTATTTTTTATCAAATTTTTAAAATATAAAAATTCCTATTTTTTTATTTTTACTGAAATCTTCAAAAATTTCATCAAAAAATTAAAATTATACAATTTTAAACTTCGTTTAAAAATTTAATATTTAAGATATTTTAGTAAACTGTAATAATATTTAACTGAACGTACAGTTTTGATCATTTTGATTTTTAAAAGTTTGATTGTTTTAATTTTTCACAAAATATAGGAAAGGAGAGAGGACTAAAAAGAGGATACCTGTTACAAGTATGAAACGGAATACAAATGGAACGAAATAAAATGATATTTGCAAAAGCAAAATCAAAACGAAAACAATATTTTCTGAAAAATTAAATATAATATAAAACAAGAGGCTAACGTGTTTGATTTGTAGGATGAAAATGAGAAATATAATTCTTAAAGTCCACACAATTAATTAGTTAGACCTGATTTTGACACACTTGATTCTCTAAAGAAATGAACAGCAAGCAGAAATTATTTGTCAATTTAGTGATTACTGCTCTAAATGTGGTTATCAATGGTATGTCTGTACATTTGACTTGGATACCTCCGAGAGGGGCTTCAAAAATGGTATATTTTTCAGGAGCAGATCCCGTATTTTGAAAAAGGGAGCTCACGTTAATAGATATAAACAATTCACCAATGCAATTTAAAGCGTTTTTGAGTTATTATACGACAAGTGGACAACGGACAGACGAACAACGGTATACCATAAAACGTCGAGTCAACGGGCGTATAAAAATCTAAATAAACGCTTAGATGCAGACTATCAAGGAACCCAAAGGATTTAGTTTTAAATCAAAAGTTTAATTTTTGAACCTTTGGACCTTAATGTGGAACAAGTTCAAAACAGGTCCCAAAATAAGTAATCCAAATACACAGTTAGATTCAGCATATCAAGGAACACCAATAAATAAATTTTATATCAAATGTAGCAAAATTAATTTTGGACACTCAAGGACATTAATGTTTAGTATAGACCAATTAAAAAATAGGGCCCAAAATCTAAATTCTTAATTCAGGGTTAGATTCAGCATATTAAAGCACCCCACCAATTCAAGACTTTGAAGAAAACCCTATTGAAATAGGTGAAGAAATAAGCAATTTATACATAGTATCACAAAAGTATTGTCGTGGTTCCTTTATCTTAAACCTCCTTTAATGGCTTACACATTGTGGAACAATTAACAAGCAATCCACGGACTTTAATACTCAAGTTATTGTCTAGAAACCAAATCATCCCAGTTTTTAGTCCCCTTTTTGGCCCTTAATTCCTAAACGTTTTTGAACATTACCCAAAATATCAATCCCTACCTTCCTTTTGAGGTATGGAACATTATGGTAAAATTTCATAGAAATCCATACACATATACACAAATAACTGTCCTGAAACAAGAAAAGTTCTTGTCTTTCGTCCCTTTGTTTGCCCCTAATTACTAAACACCTACAACAATAACCACCAATATCAATCTCGACCTTCCTATTGTGGTATGGAAAATTGTAATAAAATTTCATAGAGATCCATACACTCATACTCAAGTTATTGTCTGTGAACTAAAATGTCTTCGGACGACAAGAAAAATGCTTGTTTTTGTACCTTTTTTTCCCTTTATTACTAAACAGCAAAGACAATGACCTCAAAATTCAATCCCAAGCTTCCTATTGTGTTAACAAACCTTGTACTAAAAATACTTAAAGATAGAAATACTTTTACTCAAATTTTTGTCTGTTAACCAAAATGTCTTCGGACGACGACGCAGACATCACCATAGCATTATAGAAACGCAAAAATTGTATGGTCGTATAAAATGATTAAAGTTTAATAAATCCCGTAAAAATTGTCAAATCAAACTGATGATATAACAATCAGGAAAAAAATTAATGTTTGAACAATTACAGGTAATATACAGCCTTCAATAATGAGCAAAACCCATACTGTATAATAAGCTGAAAGCTGTGACTTGAATATTTATTATTTAAGATACTTGTCTTGTAAAATCAAACATACTTGCAGCAATGATTTGGAAATCTAAATGTGGATTCAACCAGTCAACTTTTGTAAGAAAGTAAGTTTTTCTTATCTTTAATGTATGTGGTTTTGTTACACTGTATTAACAGCAACATAAAATCATTGCATTTTATTGAATACATTAATTGACGGTTTGGTTTAGTTCCGAGTTAATAAGGGGCATAGATCTAGAACAGCTAATGAATCACTGCCAAAACTTGAACTCTGAGAGTTTTTGTTTTGAGCATTGTGTATTAGTTTCATAAAATATGAATGACTTAACTTTGATTGCAGATACAAAAAATTGGATGGACTGAAGGAAAGACTGACGGAAGGACGGTCAAGGATAAAAATTAATGTCCCTATTATCTAGGGCGGGGGCATAATAAACAATGTTTATCATTCCACAAAATACATCAATTATACTTATACCTGACAACACATCCACTTGTTTCATGGCATTTGAAGGTAAACCAAATCCATCCCAGTTTGCATAGATTATAGTATTTGATGGTAAGAATTTAAGGTCATAGCCTCTAATATCTCCATCAAACACCTTTCCAGGTAATAGTGGATTTTTCTCAATAGCAACACCATCTGATCTTAGAATGTAGGTGTAGTTCAGTTTATTGGTCACCTTTACTAAAGAGTAGTACATTTTTCCATTTTCTAATCTTAATCCATCAGTCATGCCATCAGTTTTCACTAAAAATTAGCAAGTTTAATTACTAAAATATGTAATATAACTTCAATTCACATCAATTGGAATTAATATAAAAAAGTTAAAAAGTGAATAATCATTACATACAAGATATGCCCTTCTCAATATCAATTTCTGAGAGAAAAAACAAGAACTTTCGCACAATGTCGTTTGAAGTACATGCATACCACTCTTTTTTTTAATACAAAGTATACTCCATTCCTTATTAGACATTGACAAAAAAATGTGATTCCAAAACAAATATTAAATCATTCAATAATACATAATCTGAGAAGTATATAACATAAATGTCAATACTCAGTGGGTATATAGATTCCATAACTATATAACAAGTGTTTTACGATATCTCTCCACTCGAGACAGTAAAATTATAATATTTAAAGCACGAGGCTTACTGAGCTTTTTAAAAAAATAAAAGTTAATTGTTGAGAGTGGAGAAATGTCGTAGTACATGAGTTATAGTGGTGGAATCTACTTCTGTCAAGATTTTTATCCTTCCTTTTCAAACATTGGCAGAAAGTTGTGTTCTTGAAATGTGACGTCATCAGGCATGGTCGCCTTATTTCATTACGTCACAATAGGAAATTCAGAAAAAAATCAAGATAATTAAATTTCGACCAATCATTTGCTAAGAACAGATATTTCATTAGTGATGAGAAATATTTTTCTTACACCGCTCAGGAAATGTAAGGTGTTTTCAGGTGACAAGGGTACTAGAGCTTGTAAACAGGGAAATAGGGATGAACATTTGATTAGTTTACTTCCAGTGATGGTATATAATCTTGTATGCAATAAAGTTATTTCACTTCTTCATTGTAGTACTAGACAGGATAAAACTTTAGTCATGTCAAGTATCTATTTATTTAAAACAAAAATAAATTTTGCCCAATTTTTAAAAAATTCCAATTTAGCAAAGACTCTTTTGTAAAATCAATAGTGGTTTTACTCCTATTTAGGATTTATGAACAAGCCATACTCAATGTTTTGGGGAGCTTTTTATGATTTTTTTCTCCTTATTTCTTTTATTGGTTTATAAAAGAATCTTTTTCTAAGTATCTTTTTAAGAAATATTAAGTTATAAGTAAATGAAATTATTTTTGAACAAACTTCATATAAAATAGGAATTTATTCATTAGATTTATAAGGCACTATTTTTATGACGCAGCAACTGTGTATACTATCAAGGGATGAATTCTAACAGTAACTTGCAAAATATGTTTGCTAATAAATACTGTGAAGAGGAATAAAGCTTTTAAGTCTACCACAGAAAAGTATCGCATATATACTGACTCAGGGTGCTATAATGCCCTTGCTGGTAAGAACACTGCTCATAGGTATTCTGACCGTACATATCATATAATTCTTTTTTTACAACCATTTAAAAACAACTCACAGTTCATTTTCAGCCAGTCTTGAATAACAAGACCATCAAGTCTTAAGATCTTCCATTTGTAGCTTGTAACTGGACATGGGTCACCGGACATATCCCAAGATGCTCTGTAAGTATCGTCAACAGACTGGAACTGACTGTAAAAATATATATATATCACAGATTATTATACTTATAGCTTGTAACTGGACATGGTCACCTGATATATCCCATGATGCTCTGTAAGTGTTGTCACCAGACTGGAACTGACTATAAAAATATACGATATTACAGATTATTATACATATAACTTGTAACTGGACAAAGGTCACCTGACATATTCCATGATGCTCTATAAGTATCGTCAACAGACTGTAACTGACTATAAATAAAATACAGTTTTTTGTTACAGAATATTTTCAAAAGTTTAAGACTTTAAAATTAGAATGTCATCATGAAAATACAAATAGGAACTTAAACATGTTATATAAATTATGTGTAAATACAGTTTTATTTCTATTGCACTAAGTATTTATTATTTTAGAAAATTCCAAGGATTTTTTGTTTTTTTTTTAACTATTGAAAAGGAACAGAGTTATTACCATTTCTTAATCAGCCGCATATCGTGTTTATCAGGTGTTCTTATAAGGTGGTTTTAATTACATCAGTTCCATTGCAAATATACGTGCCTTTTTAATAAGTGATCACTTTTCGCATTTAGCTTTCAGACCTTCGGCCTTTGTTTGCACAAAAACTAGGGTATAATTCATCTCCTCCTATCAATTGATTGATTGATTGGTGTTTGTTTTAACACCACTCTCAACACTATTGTGCTATTTCGTGGCAATCAGTAAATTTTGATGGAGGAAGCCAGAGTGCCAGAAGAGAACCACCGACTTTCGGTAAAAAACTGACAATCCTAGACAATTAAGATTGGAGTTGAGTGCACCTGCCAAGTATGGGATTCGAACTCACAACCTCAGTGGCAACTGGCTAGTGATACAGTAGTTTGACTACTTAAACCACCTTGCGATTGATTCCCAAAGAACATCCCATCAAGAAGTTGTATATTGAAAACCAGTGCATGCTGCCTTTAATGTTCACCTTGTACTATTTGTGTATTTATGCACTGGTATTCAAAAAAGCTTCACTTGATTATTTAGAATTGACAAAAGCATAAACAGTTGTGTGCAGACCAAGCATTACATGAAGACAAGGGGGAAGGGGGAAGTTAACGCGGCGTTTATTCGCGTGCACTTCATGTAAACGCCGAATTAACTCCGAAATTTCAGTAGACATAAACATATAAACGGCCGTTTACTTTCGCGTTTATCTCTGCGATAACGCGAAAAATGGCACATCTTCTAATTGTGTGTGTTTACTCGGGTAGACATTAGAAATTAACATTTTGACTACGTTAATGTAATAATAGTAAACGTGCGTTTACTAGTAATCGCGAAAATTAAAGTTTACTAATGCTGCGTTCAGACGTGATTCGAATTAGTTTAATTCTCATTCGAAGCGTTTTACGTCTTAACGTAAATTCTAATACGAATTGCAATGCGCGTCAAATTCGCTTTACTGTCCTAACGACGTTAACCATAAATTCGTATTATCAATTAATAATTTATAATTTAATTCGAATCACAATTAAGAAAGTGTCCATACCACTGTTTAATTCGAATTAATGCGAATTAACTGATTCGTATTAACGAAAACGCATTCCTAATCCAAATTGGATAATGCGAATTATCCAATTGAATTTGATTTGAATTGAAAAAAAGGTGTGAACGCGATTAACGCATTCGATTCGCATTCGATTCGAATTCATTTCGAATTAAATGTACGTGTGAACGAGGCATAACGAATTATGTGCACTTAACTTGCGTTCACTTTATATAATGCTTGGTCTACACCCAACTGTATATGTCAAATATTGTGTTCATTTCTTTATCTTCATGGGATAATTTTTTATCTAATTCTGTTGTTAAATATCTCTATATATTGTTTTGGCATTAAATGTGACATTTGGTTATTCATCATAACATATACTCCACTTACTGTAGATACTAGTAATTTGTTTCATGATCTATTTACCATATATTTCCTTGCATTATGTACAAAGAGAAAGAACTAAGTTGTTACAGAAATATGGCATCTCCGTAATTGAAGTCAACCGAAACACAATTGGTAAATGGATAGATAGGTACTTAATTACATTAGTATTTTTATATTTATAACAGCATTTGATATATTACTATATTTGACACATTTCTTCTTGTTTTGTTTGTTTGCATAGTTAATAACGAGGTAAACAAAGACATAGTTCTTTTTAGGAGAGCCATGGTGTAGTGGTTAGCGCATTGGACAGGTTTAATCCCCGTACTGGGGAGAAAATTTCAGGGACTGAATTTTCGGCTCTCCCTTGACACCATTTGCAAGGATGGTCTTGATAAACGATGATAGTCAGTCGGAAGGGGACAATAAATATCTGACCCGTGTGAAGAGATAGCAATATCTCTTGCACGTAGAAGAAACCCTTGTTGATTTCGAAAAAGAGTAGGCTAAATGCAGCTAAAAGGCAGCACTCGCACTAGCAACGAGGAAAGGAATTAATATAAGTTTTAATAACTTGTTTCCTAATCCACAATAAATAAATATGTTTTAACTAAGAAAATGGGATGGACGGACGGACGGACCTTTGACCTAGTCAGTTAAACATACATTATGACACACCCTTTAGTGTTGGTTGAAATACATGTCAAGTATGAACTTTGAAATCGTAACGGTTCTCAAGATATAGAGCGGAGTCAATCTTTACCATATGTAGGACATTGAGTTGTCAACTGAAACCAGTTTTTTACCTTGATCTTTGACCTAGAAAGTTGTACAAACATTATGACACATCCTCTGGGGTTTGTTAATATACATTTCAAGTGTAAAGTATGAAATTATAACGGTTCTCTAGATATAGAGCCGACACAATTTATTACGGACTGACGAACATACTGATCACTACAGGGCGACCTCGCGGTCCTAATTATTGAAATAACATACACTGTACAATGCAGACACATAACACAGTAGTTTCGTTTAAAATATTTAATGATTAACACTTAAACACGGTTTTGAAAGTATAATCATTCATCATGAAAGATCTCAACGAAAAAGTAATAGTGATTAAACTTTTGAAATAGTTTTTGACACCAATTCATTTAAACATGGTACAAATCAAAAGTTTACAAATATAATTAGGCAGAACTTGTTGCCTCTTTCACAAAGTTTTGCAAAACATTCAAACTACGAAGTTGCTTTGTCAATGTACAAGTGTTCCTCAATCCCTATGACTGTCAATGAGACAAATATCAAGCAGTCCAGATGAAGCAGATCTAAGCAACTTCATGTCATTGTATGGCCTTTATCAATGAGCAAAACCAATACCATTTAGTCATCTTTAAAATACCTGATATACTATATATGTTCCATGTTATTAGTGATATTCTCATTAAAACTCTACAAGAAGGACTGTATCTACTTACACATCTATAACATTTTCCAATACACAAGCAACCCCTACATAAAAGAAGGTGTCATTCTCTGACTTAAGTATAATTACTTGTACAGTAAAAACAGTATCAAGAATGACTGTACATACTTTCACATCACCTACAGAGTTTTCCAAGACATCAGCAACCCATACATGACAGGAGATGCCATTATCTGTCTTAGGTATTACTTGTACAGTAAAAACTCTAAAACGACAGACTATATACTTACACATCTCCCACAGAATAATCCAATACATCATTGACTCCTACATGACTAAGAGGAGCCATTCCTTGACTGAGGTATGACATATAGAGTCCATTGGATGTCGAAACACTTGTCAGACTAGCTCCATTGATTCCTTTCACAGAAACATAAACCTAAAATGCAACATTTACAAATGTAATGGAAAAAAAGATAAATATGAAGCATATAAAAAGCAATAACAATCCTGCATCTAAAATATCTTAAATGAGACGCGAAAGCTTTTTTTAATTTGCCTTTACAACCTGTAAACTGAAAACAAGTATCCCAAAAAAAAGTGGTTGGCTTGCAAGTGACACAAGTGCGAAAATTTAAAATCAAATATCCTCCTTTTCTCATAATTATGAAGAAGATTCCTCAATTCACACTCCAATATATATATATATAAATATTTATCAATTTCACCTTATGTAATAATGCTGTATTTTGATTGGACGAGAGACATAGTATTTTTCATCAATTTCTATGTATTGAGATTTTTTTTTTCTCTGTCAGTGTATTTGTCATTAGGGATTTCAATGTGCGGGGGTTTTTGCTAGCAAATTACATGACAGATGGGGAATACCATGTCTAAAAATAACCGAATGAATTATTTTTATTCTAATAGGAAAAAAATATGGTTATTCTTTATACATGCAACTCCTACAACTGTTCCAAATGAAATATTAAGGATAAAAACATCATTATTGAATTTGTAGCAGATGACGTAAGCATTCCACAAAGTTGGAGTCGATTTCATTAAAAAAAACTTAGGACTAAGATTGGTCGTAAGTCATGAACAAATCAGTATACTTACGACCAATCTTAGTTGTAAGTTATTTTTTTGTGAAACCGACTCCAGTACTTTGAATGACGTAATAAATAAAACTCAACGGAAACGCATTGTCAGCGTCATAAATAAGGAAATATATATGCAGTCAGTGACTATGCATAAACAATTATCAGAAATGCTTATACGGCCAATGCAATTTGACTGCGCAAATAACACAGTTGCAGTATATACAAAAATTATACAGTCAAGTGGAAACTCCATATGATACCCGTACCCGATTGCAATAAAATTTCTGAGGTCAATATGGATCCAAAGAACATTCGATGGAATAATACACATCATGATTTCAAGCGGTAATTGCTAAAAATACCGGTTTCGAAGTAAACAAATTTCCCTCGCCTAACTGCTCTGGAAATTTGTACCTCTCAACGGGTATTTTGGGCAAATACCCCTTGTAAGCATGATATATTTGTTTAAAATAGCACTAAGACCATGTCAAAAGTTTGAATTCATAATTCAAGATTTTAATATAATATCAAACTTACCACTCTATAACCAACAAGATTGAGACCACCTATTGTATAGTATCTGACTCCATCTTCTAAATGTATGTCAAAGAAAGGTTTAATTTGTCCACCACCAGGTGTGGTTCCGAGAGCTATCTGGTACCTACATATGAAATATAATGAAGATATATTATGATTTATAATTTAGGTGCACATAACTAAGGCATTTTGGGTAATATTTTGAAAGGTCAGTTTACATGAAAACATTGCGATAAATATCCTTAGCAATGGATATATGACCAATGATAAGATGTTATTTCACCTTGGCTTACAGATAATGATATTGTTGAACACTGCATCTTGTTTCTTTTTTATAGATAATTTCCTAATTCATAGTTTGAAGCAAAATTATTTTGTTTTCAGTATAGTCTGTAAATGTTTTCCTATGTTCCTGTACTGTTTGGGATGTTGCTGTATGCTATTTTCTTTCAATACAGAAACTGATAAATGTAGGGTGTCATGATTATTTTTTAACAGCAGGTAGGCACTTTGAGCTTACTATCAGTTACTGCATTAGCACTATTTGTTAAGCAATCACTCAATCAGTAGCTGTGTGCATTCCTAAATACAGTATAATATTGTTTAACATTTTGTGCTTTTGAAATGTATTAAACAGTTTTCAGTGAATTTCATGAAATAATTTATATACATTTTGACAGTCAACTGCGGAAGATTAACAGGGGGAGAGTTGAGAAAGAACAAAAATATTTTCAACCATTCAAATTTCATGTTCCTGTCACAAGTCAGGAACCTTGTTAGTGGTTGGCTTATATTTTTTATCATGCTTTTGTTATCTAACAAATATAAGGGTTAATGGCAGATCTTTGATTGTTTTTGTTGACTTTTTTTTAGAAATTTATAGACTATAAATCAGAGCTTGACATTGTAAAGACATCTGCATGATTTTGAAAGAGTAAATTGGGATTTTTTTTTTTAAATTTTAAATTCTACTGCTTGGAAGTTTTGTATGGCAGAATGGTATACATATAACTGATTTAGAAGTTTTTAGCTAAATTAGTAGTTATTTGTAAAAACTTTCGAAAACAGTTGTCACCTGGCTACATCTGCAATTTGTGCACTATTTTTTTTTTTTGTTACTTCAACTGACCTTTGTACACTAGATTCTGGGTCCTGGAATAATTGCCACGTTGCTGACACTGAAGTCATAGATTCCGAACAAGTGGCATCCAGCAAATCACATTCTGTAAAACACATCACAATATATAATATGTGTTCTATGAATGATATACATAATGGTAGTACAGTTGATTTTTTTAATGATGATTTACTGTACTGACAAATCAGAAGTATAATTTAGATTGACCTTATCAAGAAAATAAAAATTTGCAACTGCAAAATCAAAGATCCATATCAATAGGTTTTCAAATATAATATAGTAACTGTAAACTACTGCAGTATGCATCATCTTTGTCAGTAAAATACTTTTTAAAAATAAAAGTATACACCATCAGAAAGTTCCTAATTGAAGACTGAGCCAATTACCTACATGAGTTTGACCTTGCTATTGGTAAACAGATTTACACTATATTATACCTAAATCTTTTACCACATTTATCTCAATGCAATATGAAGATAGACTGATATAAATATATAATAGTTGAAAATTTGAGACATAAAATGTTAGATCAAAACATTTGTATCAGGAGTGCTGGTCAATAAACATTTTATGTTAAAAAACATATAAATATTTCACCTTAAATGCAACTTGTCTTCGGCCTTAACGGGTTCACTTAAGGCATTTATTGGCGAAATTTGTCCTTACCTTCATCTGTATCACATTTCTTGGCATTCATGGCTAACGTCATCTCAGTGTCTGTGACATCTACCCTGTATGTAGTGTGTAAGTCAATGACTTTACCGTACGTTGGTGGTGTTGAGTCTATACCAATCTCAGAAGAGAATGCGTAAGCTTCCATGTCAACATAGTTGACTGCAGTCACTGTTACATAGTATTTATCACCGTGATGTAACTGGTCACCAAGACCTAATTAAATTAATAAGATTTTTTATTTATAACAACAGTAAAGTTAATTACGTGAAGAATATCACTTAATTAATTTCGTGTGCCTGAAGCAGTTTTCTGGATTAACCTAAATCAGGAACACTCAAACTCAAAAGGAAGTCTGGTAAGATCTCATTTTTGCCTAAAGGTGTAATACCACCAAATCATAGTACGTCACATCCGGTTGCATACGAAAATAGGTCGAAAAAAAATATTCCCTTGAATTTGACAGTTGTAGGTAATTGATCCTACATTTCATTGCAGTAAAACATTTCTGGGTCATAAACATATATCTTGGGTATTTCAAAGCACCATTATTTTTTTATTTGGGGTTTCTATAGAATATTTTGGAAACTTGAGGTTACATGGTTACTAAAGCTTGTATACAGGTTAAAAAAGGGGGAAAATTTGATTGGTTAACTTCCAGTGATGGTTATTTTCTTATATGCAATGAAATGTTATGTGAAATTTTTTCTATAGTACTGGACAGGATCAAACTTTACTCATGCCAAGTATTTCTTTATTTGAAACAAAGATAAATTCTGCACAATTTTTTGAAAAGTGCAAATTTAACAAAGACTAATAGGGGAAAATCAATGGTGGTATTACACCTAATATAGGAAGCTGTACATGCACCTTTGACCTTGTGAGTACTCTCATGTGTTAAAATTTCTTGCTATTTAAGTGAAATATTACTAATAATGAAATATTCTGAGTGGATTGAGTCTCCAAAACACATTTATGAGAAAATTTCCTTGAAATAGGACTTTACCATGAATATTAGTTGACAGAATAAGCCATACTTAGAGTTTTGGGGAGCTTTTTCTCCTTTTTTCTTATATTCTGCTATACTAGAAAAAATTTTCCTAAGAAATACTTTAATAAATATATAGTTTTAAGTAAATGAAATTATTTTTAAAGCAGTAACAACAAATTATTCACCAAAAAGAAGCTTTTTATGTCCCTCTCTGGAACGCGGCGTAAATTTAAGTTTTACGTAAGGACTTATTGAAACCTCCTTGGAGACAGTAAACTTTTATACGGATAGTTCATTCAGCTTGAATACTTCAATTAATCATTTATTATAACATTTCTATCATAAATGAGTGAAAGTTACCCCAAAATTTTTATTTATTGGCCTATAAAGTAGAAATTTTGAGGAAATGAGAGGTATAAATGGACCAGAAGAGACCTTATAAGGAAGACAAAGAGGTCCATTGGTAGTATTTATCATCCTAAAGTCATCTTTTGTATCATATTCAACTGTTTGTAGGCAGATGAGATAAATATTTGATCATTTATTGGTCCACACTATATTCTATCATGATGCGGCTTGGTTTGGATTTTTCGAAGAAATTTAGCTCGAATCACTGCAGATGTCATCTTACATTATACTAGATTTTTCTCAAACTATTGAACTGATTATGACAAAACTTGACAGGAATGCTTGAAATAACCAGTATAACAAAGGAAAAAAGTCACATTCAGTTTATTTAACAAAAAAGTCTTCTTTAGGTGTAATACCACCAAATCATAGTACGTCACATCCGGTTGCATACGAAAATAGGTCGAAAAAAAATATTCCCTTGAATTTGACAGTTGTAGGTAATTGATCCTACATTTCATTGCAGTAAAACATTTCTGGGTCATAAACATATATCTTGGGTATTTCAAAGCACCATTATTTTTTTATTTGGGGTTTCTATAGAATATTTTGGAAACTTGAGGTTACATGGTTACTAAAGCTTGTATACAGGTTAAAAAAGGGGGAAAATTTGATTGGTTAACTTCCAGTGATGGTTATTTTCTTATATGCAATGAAATGTTATGTGAAATTTTTTCTATAGTACTGGACAGGATCAAACTTTACTCATGCCAAGTATTTCTTTATTTGAAACAAAGATAAATTCTGCACAATTTTTTGAAAAGTGCAAATTTAACAAAGACTAATAGGGGAAAATCAATGGTGGTATTACACCTAATATAGGAAGCTGTACATGCACCTTTGACCTTGTGAGTACTCTCATGTGTTAAAATTTCTTGCTATTTAAGTGAAATATTACTAATAATGAAATATTCTGAGTGGATTGAGTCTCCAAAACACATTTATGAGAAAATTTCCTTGAAATAGGACTTTACCATGAATATTAGTTGACAGAATAAGCCATACTTAGAGTTTTGGGGAGCTTTTTCTCCTTTTTTCTTATATTCTGCTATACTAGAAAAAATTTTCCTAAGAAATACTTTAATAAATATATAGTTTTAAGTAAATGAAATTATTTTTAAAGCAGTAACAACAAATTATTCACCAAAAAGAAGCTTTTTATGTCCCTCTCTGGAACGCGGCGTAAATTTAAGTTTTACGTAAGGACTTATTGAAACCTCCTTGGAGACAGTAAACTTTTATACGGATAGTTCATTCAGCTTGAATACTTCAATTAATCATTTATTATAACATTTCTATCATAAATGAGTGAAAGTTACCCCAAAATTTTTATTTATTGGCCTATAAAGTAGAAATTTTGAGGAAATGAGAGGTATAAATGGACCAGAAGAGACCTTATAAGGAAGACAAAGAGGTCCATTGGTAGTATTTATCATCCTAAAGTCATCTTTTGTATCATATTCAACTGTTTGTAGGCAGATGAGATAAATATTTGATCATTTATTGGTCCACACTATATTCTATCATGATGCGGCTTGGTTTGGATTTTTCGAAGAAATTTAGCTCGAATCGCTGCAGATGTCATCTTACATTATACTAGATTTTTCTCAAACTATTGAACTGATTATGACAAAACTTGACAGGAATGCTTGAAATAACCAGTATAACAAAGGAAAAAAGTCACATTCAGTTTATTTAACAAAAAAGTCTTCTTTAGGTGTAATACCACCAAATCATAGTACGTCACATCCGGTTGCATACGAAAATAGGTCGAAAAAAAATATTCCCTTGAATTTGACAGTTGTAGGTAATTGATCCTACATTTCATTGCAGTAAAACATTTCTGGGTCATAAACATATATCTTGGGTATTTCAAAGCACCATTATTTTTTTATTTGGGGTTTCTATAGAATATTTTGGAAACTTGAGGTTACATGGTTACTAAAGCTTGTATACAGGTTAAAAAAGGGGGAAAATTTGATTGGTTAACTTCCAGTGATGGTTATTTTCTTATATGCAATGAAATGTTATGTGAAATTTTTTCTATAGTACTGGACAGGATCAAACTTTACTCATGCCAAGTATTTCTTTATTTGAAACAAAGATAAATTCTGCACAATTTTTTGAAAAGTGCAAATTTAACAAAGACTAATAGGGGAAAATCAATGGTGGTATTACACCTAAAATTTAAAGTACATCTGATGTCAGATTTTTGACATATTTGAAACACTTAAGTGTCTATTTCAGTTGTTTCAATCAGTGAATGTAAAAGATTTGAATTGATTTGGTCATTAAAGAAGCTAAAATTCAAGCTTAGATATGAAATCAAATATGCCATAAACTTTTCAGATAGTTTTTGTCTAAAATGCAAGTGGCTGCATTCATGTTCAGTCTCAGCCTTTATATAGGTATAAGAAGATGTGGTATGAGAACAAATCAGACAAATCTCCATCCAAGTCACAATTTGGAAAAGTAAACCTTTATAAGTCACAGTACCGCCTTCAACACGGAGCCTTGGCTTACACCGAACAGCAAGCTCTGATGGCCCCAAAAATGACTAGTGAAACACCATTCAAACAAGAAGACCAACTGTCTAATTAATATAAAAAATGAAAAACGAGAAACAATACATGTTATGTATAATCATCAAATATAACCATTATTTATATATTAAGACACAATACAAGCGCTGCCACTTCCATTTTAGACAAAAACTGTCTAAAAATAACAAATGCTAATAATGTGAAGATTTCAGTAATTTTCCATGAATTAATGATACTTAAGAACCTGATGCATGTGGATTATACTGCAATAAAAAACAAGGCCATTTTTATGTAACAAAAGTATTCATCATTCCATGAAAGAGCTCAACGTTCACAATTCGTAAAATGCCTTATTTTGGGGCCAAAAAGGGGTCTTACCGAGATTGCTCATTTAGAATGACAACGATGTATAAATACATGAATAATGAGGACCTTTATGACCAAAAGGGACATATAAAGAACAGCCAAATTTACCTAAGGTCAACTTTACCTGGTGGAGTTGGATCTTTTTTTCTCAATAAGGTTGAATACATTTATTTCCAAAAGAAAAGTCAGCAGTTACCATTTGATCTTCGAATACATTGTAACAGTAACTTTTCTTTTAATGCAATTTAATGGTATTTCCCAATTATAAAAAAAAGTTAGGAGCAACTACTGTTTCTTTGTCCTAGCTGTCAAAGTATCTAAAATAATCTTCAAAGCAATATCACAGAATTGCTAATTAACTTTATGTGCAACATTTCAGTCTTCAGATAATAAAGATACTATAATATGCTTAAATCAAATGAAAGTAGCAGTTTTATGAAGCATTCATTTTTTGATTTATTGATTCACTTCAACAATCTCTCGACCAATTTTAGTATGCCACAGAAACTCAAATTTTAGTATGAAATAGAACTTTCCTTTGGACCGAATTAGTATAAAATGAAGTATCCTTGAAAAATTGTTAGTGTGACATATAATACATGTATCAGTTTTAGTATGAAATCGAACTTATTTTGGACTGTGAATTGACTCATTTATCATGGGACTGATTACAATTTAACAGTTATAATAATTTTATCTATTAGAACTCACCTTGGATTGAAAATTGACTTATATATCCTGGGACCTCTGTTCCATTGAAGACATTATTTGATCCTTGTTGACTTCCCATTGTTATAATGTATTTCTGGATAGGACTCTGTTTGTCCAGGAAGCCATGCCATGTACACAGTATAGGAGCATTCAACTTAAAACAACAAAGATAATATATATATATAATTCGATACAGTTAACACTTGTTGTCTCGAACTACGCTGACTTGAAATTTCTCATGGTCTCAAACAGTGTCCAAATAAGTGTAAGTATATGTATTTTTACGTCTCAGAACGTAGAATGGTTATAGTTAGAACAATAGTAAAAACATATTTCAATTTAAGAAAAAAAATAAACTGTTATCACAGATATATGCCTCGCCTTTTTGTAATTTTGAAATAAAAATAGCAAATATTCAAAGTCAATGAACCATGACTGGGGTACATGGCTTAACATGTAATGAGATGTGCCAATGCTAATACAACTGCATACCAAATACCATTGACTTATTATAAGTCGTTCCCTTTGAACAAACCTAAACACAAGCATTAACTTGTAAACTATGTAAAAATTTCAAAGTCAAATAACCATGAAGAGGGGGTGGGGCTATATAATCTCCATGGAAACGATACTTGCAAATGCCAATAAATTAGCATACCAAATATCACTGACCTAACATAAGCAGCTCATCTTAAACTAATCTAATAATTAACTAATACATTTAAACTATGTAAAAGTTTCAAAGTCGATAGACCATAACTGAGGGGGCGGGGCCAATATTCTCCAAGGAAATGAGATGTGATAATGCTTATACAACTGAATACCAATTAACATTGGTCTACCACTAATGGTTCCCCTTGAAATGACCTAATCACAAATTAAAACATGTTAACTTAGCAAAATTTTCAAAGTCAATAGACCATGACTAAGGGGCGAAGCCGAATAATCTCCATACAAATGAGATGCCAATTCTTATACAACTGCATATCAAATATCATTGACCTCTCAATAGTAAACTAGTACATGTACAATAAGCAAAAGTTTCAAAGTCAATAGACCATGACTGCGAGGGACGGGCCAAATAATCTCCATGGAAATGAGATGTGTCAATGCTTATAAATCTGCATATCAAATATGATTGACCTACCACTTGTGGTTCGCCATAAACTAGACCTAATCACTAATCACTCCGTCAAGGCGAAACAAAAATTATTAAACTATCAAAAATATTTTCAACAAGTGTGAATGTTTTAAGTGTAGCTGAATAAATCACAACAACAACAAACATGGCAGATGAGAATGATCCATAAACTTTCTAGTAAAATTACTAAAGAAATCATCCAAAAACACCAAAAATCATTTCTCATAGAACTTTATGAAATATTGTAGGTTAGTCTTATTAATTTTCAATCGTTTGAATTATGTTTTAGATTCGGAGTCAAGCCTCGTGGTATCTGGCAGGATCTGACAGGTGCACCCATTCGACGCAAAATAACGATTTCTACCACTTTTTTGGTCTCAAAGCGTTTCTGGTATTGTGTCGTATGCCATAAAGTTCCTGTAATTTCCAAGATCCTTTAAATTTTTTCTTTAGGGTCGTCATCCCGTGTTATTATCTTAAGAGTAATAAAAGCAATGTTAAAAATAAGGAGCCGGAAATTGATGTTGTCTTGGAAAATACGAAAATAACATGGCGGAATCTTGGCGACATAACTCACACTATCTGGAATAAGTTCCTTTTTTTACTTAAATGCGTTTATTTATCGAAATTTAAGTCAACTTTGTGGCATGATTTTACTTTTAAAAAATCACCCCAATGAAAACAAAATGCAACGGGTGACACCATCTATACCTGAGATAATTGCCAACATACAACATTTTAAAATCACCCGTATATTCCAAAACCATGAGCAGGGATCGCTTTACCCATGCAGTTAATAAGATATCTTCTTTTTTCTGTCTCTTTACAACAACCCTTGCCTGGGGATTTATGACCTGCTTTACAACATAAAACCACTCCTTACACATGTTAATATAACAGAAATACACCCCACACAGAAACATCACTATGGAGGAACCATAAAGCCATTTAAAGGGAAGTTACAATTTACGCAGTACATGCCACAGAAACCACAAAAATGGGGTGTTAAAGCTTTTGTTTTGGCAGATTCACATTAAAGCTACATCAAGTATGTTGACTTTTCTCTAAGAAGGTCATATACAGGAGACAATTTTAAAGCCTTCCCATGATGGAGATTTCTTAATATAAAATCTAAAGCTATACTTACCTCAGCATATGATCAGGACAGGAACAAAAGCCTTCCCCTGATGGAGTGTTATCATTTTTTAAAAGAGAGTTATACTCACCCCAACATAATCAGAACAGGAGACAAAGCCTTCTCCTGGTGAAGATTTGTTAATGATATACTAACCTCAACATAATCAGGACAGGAGACAAACCTTCCCCTGTTTAGAGTTTTGTCAATGATTTGATCACCCAAACATAATCAGGACAGGAGACAAAGCCTCCTCCTGGTGGAGATTAGTCATTATATACTCACCCCAACATAATCAGGACAGGAGAAAAACTCTTCTCCTGTAGGAGATTTGTCAATGATATACGCACCCCAACATAATCAGGACAGGAGACAAAGCCTTCCCCTGGTGGAGTTTTGTCAATGGTATACTAACCCCAACATAATCAGGACAGGAGACCAAGCCTTCCCCTGGTGGAGTTTTGTCAATGATAACTGATCCCGAAGCTACTTCAGACACTAGTCCAGCTTTGTTTTCTGCCCAGATGCAGATAATGTTCGGCTTTCCTAAAACATATACAGTAATTTTTGTACTCTGATTTTAGGGGGACTGCTGGTTCTATTTTGTTTCTATATAAACATATTTCGTTAGGCTATGAACAATTCTGATTATCTCCCTTGTTTGAACAATGTATGCAAAATTATTGGTTCTTTGTCTAATATTGGTAATTTCATGCATAGTAAATCCATTAGGGTATGAATGCTCTTTACCGTCAGGCATCAAACGATCATTTTCGGCTACCGTTAGCATCAAATTGGTTAACATTTTACCGTGCTTTGTCAAATAATCACTACCGTGATTCGTCAGAGGGCTCAAATAATTAATGTTTGAAAAAAATTAACGTGAATCATCATAATCAGTCATTTTTTATCGTCTAAAAGAAAGTGTACATTTTATCGTCATGCACCAAAAATTACCGTTAACGTCATTTGGCAAGAATTTTTACCGTTAATTTGTCATGTAGGTACCCCCATTACGATCCTCATCCATTACGTTGAAATAAAGTTTTACTATGCAACTAGTATTCTTTGTGTTAAAAAAATAAGATGATGTGGTATATCAAACAATTTTGCGACTTGATTGTAAGTATTTTTCTCCTATTATTGTATTTCATTCAAAATTTTGACCCAATTGCCAATTGTTTAATCAAATCAACTTATTCCACTGGTTACAATAAATATGTACTTAAAGATTTTTGTACATATTTATTGTAATAAGTCATTTGAAAGGTAAAGTGGTAATTATTTTTTTTTACTGTAAGACTGAAACTGAAAGAATTTAATCTTAAAACAACAACTTTTATTATCAACATTTACTACGATTCTTTTACAATAAGTTCAATTAGATAATAACCTGTATCAATAGCAGTAACATAAGCCAATGGTAAAGAACTGAAATCCATGGATGAAATCTCTACCTCAACCATTGGGGCAATGTCCTGAGCAAATGGATAGGTTCCTACTGAATACCATCCTCGTTCTATACCACTCTCTGTGTCGTTGTACGTCCATTGGGCGGTCAGTGAGTCAGTTGTTGTCTGGTACAGAGAATTACCACTAGTGATGTCTTGATCTGTTGGAATCTTATCTGTTAACCTATCAAAATACAATAATAAGTTGTTCAACTAGAGGCTCTAAAGAGCCTGTTTCATCACCTAGGCCTATTTACATTTTCAATAATGGACGATATCGGACATTGTGGACTCAAATAGAATTCATGACCAAAATCTCTTTGAACTTGACTTGCTGATCATTTTTCCTTTAGAAAGTTTCTCTCCATCTATCATGATCTATACTAATTTTTAAAGACCAAACAGCCTAATCATTTCTTTCAAAGATTTGTTTCTTACAATTTTGTGTGAGTATTTCATGATTTCGTTAATAAAATAGGATGAAAAAAACTATTTTAACCTCAGTTTCGTGTTTTCCTCCAATAGGAACATTATTTGGTTGTTATTTAAATTTTTTAAATGAAAGACGACACTGACTATCTTCTTGTCTTTTACACTATATATTAGACTATAGATGAAGTGTTAATTTTTGCTTGTCACTTTCAGAAGCTTGCACCATACTTCTACATACAACTACAATCTACTAATTCAACACTGTAGTGTTGACGGACGGCCAGAAGCATGGATTGATTTCGTTATACCATAAAAACGTTACGACTAAGTAAGGCGTATAAAAACTAATTCATCTAACTTTTGGATTCATTATTTCTGAATATTTAAAACCCATAACTTGAAATGATAGTTGAATGATTCAAGTATTAAATTTTCAAATGTTACATGTATTTGAACTATAAAAATACAATGATGTTTATTACTCAATAATTAAACGTAACTACAAAGCACAAAAGAGCCAGTTGAGCTCATAATGCCTTTAACTTTCATTACAGGAACACAAATAATAACATTATTATTTAGTTTTACAATACATAGTTTTAACTTTATGTCATTGTAAGCTGTAAGATGTCTATCCTTTTTAGGCAATTGTTTATTAAAATCTTCGTGTTGTAACTTTTCCAATAGAAATTACTTAAAAAACCTTTAAATATTGTAAAATAACTTGTTTGACTGACCTGTCAATAGTGATCAACGGTGGTGAAATATCTACCATAAAACCATCAGATGATGACTGCAAAACATTTCCACCGTTAGTGATTCCCCTTACAGAGGCATAATACATGGTATCAGGTTTCAACGGTAATGTTGCATGGGCATGTCCAGAACTTGTTACTCCTGGAAGTCAGAAGCATATTGAATATAATGCTCTCTCAATGAGAAACATGATCTTTTCGAACATTTGCAGGAAAATAATGCATATTTCAACACTTTTTGTAAGCTCTAATATGGAGTAAAAAAACATCCCAGCTAAAATCCTGCATTTGTTCGATTTTGACAAGGAATATGACCCCTTATACTCGGTGAACTAAAAAAAAAATCAGAGTGGTAAATAGTGTTGAAATCAGGTCATTCCAGTATAATATAATTTTTATGAGCTCATATTCCCTGTGAAATTCCCAAATAACATATATTGTAAAAATAAAAAATGCCTTTTTGTTTATCTATTTAGGAGGAGTCAAAAATGACATTTGTCAAAAGTAATCTTAATCTGGGTGTAGTTGCCACTGACAAAATTGTTTAAACACTAAATGAGTTGATGAAACTCTTCAAGTCATAGTTATAAACTTAACATTTTGATTCTTTCAGCTTTATCTATTCCTGTATCAAAATGTTTATTTCATTTATTAATGATTATTTCCATATATTACTAAGCCTTTCTGGTACTAACAATGGAAACTAGATTTCAGTGAGACAGGAGCCACCTCTGTTGGCCCCGCTGTAAATAACGTGTGGAAAAAATTGTATCTTTACCACAAGACATGGGGTTGTCAACTGAAACCAAATTGTTTTACTTTGACCTTTCACCTAAGAAGTTGTACATACGTTATGACACAGCAACTGGTGTTGATTAATATACATATCAAGCATTAACTTTGAAAATATAACGGTTCTCAAGATATAGAGCAGACACGGTCTTTACCATAGTACATGGGGTTGTCAACTGAAACCAAAGTTTTTGATAATGACCTTTGACCTAGGAAGTTGTACAAATATTATTACACACTTTCTAGTGTTGGTTAATATACATGTCAAGTAAAAAGTATGAAATTATAATAGCTCTCTAGATTTAAAGCGGACACAATTTGTTACGGACGGATGGACAGACAGACGGAGGGACAGACTGTCACTATAGGGCGACACGCCATTCGGCGGGACCCTAATAATATGATTTAAACTGAGCCAGTCATAGTCATACTTACCGTCTCCAGCAACATTTTCTTCTTCTGAATGTATGATACCCTCACTCATGAATGGCTGTACATCTTCTCCACCTGGTGTGGTACCCACGGCCCACTCATACACCATCACACCATGAAGGTGACTTTCAAATCCATCAAACTGTATAGTAACAGTGGTGGTATCAACGGTGTAGTCTACATCCACGCCCAATTCTGAGGGGTTTTCATCTGTTCTATCAGCTCCATCAACAACAACACCTATATACAACAATGTACAATGAAATTGATTTACAATTACCATTTATCATACCACATAGTCAGCCATAAAAGACCCCGAAAGGACATAAGTAAAACAATTCAATCAAGAAAACTAATGACATGATTTAAGTGATATATGATATACAGCAACAAATGACATAATACACAGATTCATAGAGTGATTACCTTCTTTGTCCTCTTCAACAACAACAATAGGAGTAGATGTGATCACCGAGCTGAGTAATTGAGCTCCATTCTGGGCCTTCAGACTGACGTAATACACAGGTTCCTTGGAACTCAGGTTGGTAATATTTAGACTAAGACCTTGTATATATACATCATTCTCTGCACCATATAAGGTCCATCCTAATTTGTCTGTCCCACCTATTATAATAATAAACAAGTTAAACTGTGAGCTATTACTCAATAATAATAACCCCACTATTGTTAACAGGAAATGAGTTAGTGATGGATGTAAAAACATATTACATGGCATTACATGAAGGTTGTTTTCAAAGGAGTTGGCCCGGTAAGACCCCTTTTTAAACAAAAATATAGCATTTTTTTCAAGGAGTAGGTTCGATAAGGCCCAAAAAATCGTCCCCTTTATTAGCTTAAATTTCAAATTAGGATTTATTGAATTATATCATTTTGTTGAAAATTTACATTCCTGCGTTTTATTCATGACGTCGCAAAAGAAATCATGAAAATGGGTAAATTTCCATTGATTATTGGACAGGAAACAAAGAGCGCATACGTCAACAAAAAAGATCTTTTAAAATAGTTTTTGTAAAGAAATTTTACATGTCTAACGTGAATATTTAGTTTGTCGACGCCTGCGCTCTAAGTTTCCAGTTCCTAAATTATTTGAAATCCGGCCGATTTTGTCAAATTTCGCCAAAATCTCTTATCTTGAACAATTTGGGATGTAAAAATCATCGCTATAGAAGAACACTTTGACACAAATAGTTCTATTTAACTTTCTCACATGTCTTTAAGTTAATCTAAAAACATTTTTTATCTTGTCACAGTGAACTTTATAATCGGGACTAAATATGGCCCTTTTCGAACTTAATCATTTGTTATAGCTTTTATTGGAAAATAGAATACTTTTATTACATAAATATGGACTGTTTTGATAATACAATGCACATGCATCTAGTACGAGAATCATCAATTCAGGAAACAATTTTTGATATCTTCACAATTTTAGCATTTTTGCTAATTTTAAGGCGAATTTTGTCTAAAATGGAAGTGCCTGAATTTGTGTTCAGTCTAAAATAATTACATATTTATGATGTATTTGACGATAATACATAACATATATAGAGGTTGAGACTTAACACATATGGGGACACCTACATTTAAGACAAAACCCATCTGTGACGTTTCATGGCATATATGATAAGATTTTTCATATTAAAGCTTGAATGTGAGCATCTTTAATAGCCAATTCAGTTCAAATCTTTTACATAAACTAATTGAATCGACTGTAGTAGAAACAAACTTAGATTTGTAGTATTGAGAAAGATGTGACCATTTCAAGCAAGGCTATTATGTGTAGGCATACGCATTGGATTAAACAGGAAGTGGATGAGTGATGAAAAATATATCACACAGTATAGCATGTACACTCGAAGCTTGATACAAAACTTCAGGAAGCTCTGATTTGTAGTTCCTGAAAATAGTATGACACAGCTTGATGGGAGGGAAAGACGTTTACATGTTTACCTAGTCCATTAGAGCGGGGTATAAATATAATCTTACAAAAAAATTGTAAAAGATTTGCATTGTGTAAGCATTTTTGTGGAACAAGAATTGAAACTCATTTTACAATCTTTAAATTAGCAACACTAATATCAGGTCTTGACCTGTGACGCTGCATATATCAAATGACATTCAATATATGCAGCGTCACATTAATGAGGTAAAATGTTTACTGGAGCATACCGGTAATTGATCATTCCCTTTTACTGAATCCTTTGCTGCAATTTTTCTTGTACAATGAGTGTTGTAAAATTTCAAACTATCTGCAAACAAAAAATGGCTTCACAGCAGATGTAAAATGTGCTTACTTGCTACAACTTAACTTCTAATCCTGGTGTCTATGATCAGTAATAATAATACTTCAGACCAAATATTAAATTATTCCCATTTGTAACAAGCCAGGAAAACTGATGAAAAATTTCATTCAGATGAACTGATAGACAGACCGAATTGAGATTCTACTAGATTTGCTTCCTCTTTCAAGGACGCATGTAAATATATTGTGCATTGTTCTAAAGTGTAGCTTTCCGAAATGAACATGTAGACAAAAGAAAAGAGAAAACAAAATCTCTAAGTACACAAAAGAGGTCAGATGATACAATGACTGTCAATGTAAGGAAGAGAAAATATATATTCATATCCACTTTTGAAGAAGAAGAAAATTATCTTGTAAACTTGTTATCTTGATTTCAACACTTAAACTGATTTTAGTCACTTAACCCAGATATTTCAACAATCTAAATAGACTTATCGGTCGTCCCACTGTCTATACCACTCTGCTCAGCTATTAATAAAATTGCATATCACGGCTTTGTGACGTCAAATACGTTGACCCGACCTTAATAACTTTGACCTGGGCATAATATCGACCTCATAATGTTTGAACAAACGTTGATAAGCTTGACTCGAACAAATCAAGTCATCTTCCGGTTTGTTGGTGAAACAAAGAAAACACTTCGAAAGGACGCAAATACAGCCCGATAAATCGATTAAAAGGTAATCTGCATAATGATATTGCAAAATATCAGCTGCTCAACACAATATGAAGACTTTTTGATCTCGTTCGCTGAGCTCACTCGACAAAAAGTTTCATATTGTGACTAGCAGCTGATATTTTACAACATCAACATGCAGACAACCTGCTAATTGGTACGTATCAGTTCCAAGAAATGATTTAATATGAGAATATTTACCAGGAGTAGTTCCAACAGCGACTTCATACCGAATTATACCAGACTCAGGGTCAACAGCCAACCAGGCTGCCTTGATCCCTTTTGTATTGGCTTGCCACACGTATCCATCAACTTTCTCCTCTTCACCTGAGACTAATGTTCCTACTTTTAACCACTTAACCTATTAAAATAATCAATATAAAAAAGCAGAATAATATTAGTTGTAAAGTTGTTTATTTTCGTTAAGTATGGATTTTGCAATTTCAACTGCAAACTGGTTTGTGAATAAAGTTTTACTATGTGTTTTTTTTTTGTCCTTTGCACCTTCAAGAAAGATTTAAATTTACGCATGGAGAAATTTTATGTTTGTTTTTCTTTGCAATCTCGAAATTAGCAAAAATAAACACTCTTACTGAATTTTTCTTACTTCAAATTATTGCAAAGATGCTAACACTTCTAATTTAGAGTAAACATAAAACTAAAAATTATAAAGGATTTTCCCCCAAATTCTGTCTGCTTATAAGCTTCTACAACATTTTGTGCAATTATTTTTGAGCATAAAAAGATTAAAATGTGAATAATGGAGACATGTGGAAAATTTACATATCACAAGACATGTTGCCAAAAAAATACAGCTTTAGGTTATCATGCAGTATTAAAAAATAAACATATCTCAATTTCATAATTACGACAAGCTGAAAATTTCAGTGAAGTCAACATATATTTAACTTACAGAAGGTGATGATGTATCCACTCTAACACTATCTGTTTCATACACTGCCATATGTCCTGCTTTGTTCAGTGATCCCACTCTAATACTGTAAATAGCCCCAAGTTTGAGCGACATTCCTGTGTGAGTGTAGGATGTTCTTGATTGGTTTCCCAATAAATTCAACCATTTACCTTTAATTTCTGAAACAGAAAGCATAATAGTTATGCATTAGATATGGAAGAACCTTAAAGAGAAATCTCACATACCCCAAGCCTCTAAAACACACACACAAAAAGTACGGTAAATTCATATATTTTTGCGAAGGATTTTATTAATGCAAATAATGCAACTAGGTGGTGAGTATTGCAATAATGAAATCTTGTATATATATCTGTATGCAGCTTTTCTTGCAATAATTCACATTTCTTTGGAGAAATTATCAAACCTGCTTGTTCAATTTTTGATACCACTAATCTAACGGTTTAATGTTCTACTCAAAAGCATCAAAGAAGGTAATTATGACATCTAAGTACAGAAAATAAATATGGAAAATTCAAACCTGATAGGACGCACTTCATTAAGTGTTCAAACAAGCACCTACATTACAAAGACCTAGCAGCATATTCCGAAACTGATAGACAAACAAGGTCTTTTCTCTATCAGCTGGGTTGACAGGAACCTGCAAGTAACAACTTGCAAGGAAGATAATGAAGTTCAAAGAGCCTTTAAGGGCTTCCAGACAGCCATGCGTGCCTGGGAGTGGGTCAAAATCCCACCTAGTTAGGCTTTTAATTTTTCTAAAATCTATGCAGTATCGGGCTGACCCATCCTTTTTCTTGACCGTAATAATAAGGACTGCCAAAGGACTCATTGACGGTTCTATCAAAGTTTCTCCTATTAGCAGTCCTCACTTGACTAAATATCAAAACCTTTGATCAATTTGTGGGGGGGGGGGGGGGGGGTAAACTGCATAAACATTAATAAAATAAGAACAAACTAGAGGCTCAAAGGAGCCTGAAAGCCATACCTTGGATACTTTGTTTGAAAAGAAATGCAACAACAGAAAAATGTTCCTTATTTTATATGACATATTAAAAGGAAAGGATGTAAATGGAACATTAATTTGGCAGCGACATTTTAAATTATTTGAACCACATAGAGATCCTTAGTAAACCACCTGTACATATCATTTCTGGTAAGTTTTGTTAAACCCATGTTGAGTTGAACGATCTAGTTCAATAGAGTTTTAATAGGAACTGTATACCACCAATACAGTTATGCTTGCTACTAAATCAGCGACGAGCAATGCAATCCTGTTAAGTTTGAAACATCTCGCCTGGATTTTTATGAATGATTAATTTGGAATAATCAGCATGCTGGTAGCCAAATATATGATTAATGATGACTTGAAGTAGTTATTTATCGTCTTGGGACTATTTCTTCTTGTGCCCTGGCATATGATTATGGTACATTTGATCAATTTAACTTACTTGGGACAAGTTGTCTCTTTGTACCAAGGGACTTCACATAAATCTGTATTCTATAGTAATCAATTCCAGATTCATGGTCTTCAAATTTGAAGTTTGTACTCAAGGAAGTGGCATCAGACTACAAAAGTTATATTAATATATTGATGAAATGAAAGAAAGTTTAATACATAACACAGAAAATTGGAACTTTTTTTCTGTTAAGGTTGTGATCTGTTTCTTACATGAAGAGATATTTCTCGTATCACACTCTGTACGGATACCAAAATATAAAACAATACAAAAACTATGTTAATTTGGGTCCGTGTAACACTTATCAATTCAAAATATCAAAAAGTTTTCAAATTTTACATTTTTCGATTTTTGATCAACATTTCAAAATATCAAACTTCTGAAATTTTTTTTTTTTTTGAAATTTTGAAAGTTTAACCAAATATTCAAAATTTTAAAATTCTAAACTTCGTTTTAAAATTTTAAAATTTAGATATTTAAGCAAAATTTAAAAATACTAAACTGAACGTACAGTTTTGTTCATTTCGATTTTTGAAAGTTTGAATTTTTAGATTTTTGATTAAAAATGTAAAAAAAAGAAGCATAAAACGTGAAATCTGTATCCAGATAGCGCTTGCCTGATTTTACGCGGGCTTTTAATACTTAACAATTCAAGATGTCTGCATTAGAAGATTATGAAGATTCCATTCGAAATATGATCGAGCAGCAATGTTATACTTGTGCAGAAACGTCCAGTACATCAAAGACCAGTTTAAATATAACAAAAGGTTTGTATTTAGGTTATTTAGAAAAAAATATATCTGTATAGCCCTGTTCAAGCATATGTGACGTGGAGCTTCAACCGTTTTATTACTAATAAAACCCTTTGTGTTACAAAGTTCCTATCTGATTTTGCGTTTTAAGATTTATCTTAGAATAAAAATGGACTAGTCTAATTTACATTTATCCAGAAAAGTCTGTCTGTCATAGAAACCAATTTTTTAATGAATGAGTTTATTTCTATGAATATAGGTAACTTTTTAGCTGACGTCAGTCCAGAAACATACATTTTTATAACTGAAATAGTTTCACTTTCGTAGTAACAAAACCTTTGATTAATATGTAAGAAAACTAATATAAGCGATATTTAAAGTTGAGACAAAAAATGCACAATTATGGTACTTGAATTGGTTTTGAACATTGCCTCCGTACAATATCCTGCACCATGTACATATTATATAATTGGACTATTCACTACATGGCGGTCATCACAGGGGCAAAATATGCAATTATTTTTCCCTCGAAAAAACAAGCAAGACAAGGCAAGACATGTACATGTATATATTTATCAACGTAACAAGTCGTTGATGGCGTAAACAAGTTGGACAAAACTGTATAACTCATAGGTTAAATATCCTATGTTGCAAGGTTTCTGCCCGTCACATGTCGAATGTCCTTGCCCTATATTTCATTGTAAACAATATGTTAGATATGAATACATTGTAAGGTGTACATGTCAGCCAGACAGATGTCACCTGTCCTTGATCTCATTTTTACACCCTAACAGGCGTGATATTTTAGCGTGTCTGCTCTTGTATAAAATATAATTATGAATTTTATACATAAAACTTGTGTACGTTCTTTTTTTTTAATAGGTTTAAGTCAGTCAAGCATATACAAATTCTGTCTAGACAAAAACATTCACAAATATGATTACGGGAGATTGTCGAAATCGGAAATAAAAACATAACTACATCAGTTGTACAGATTACCGGGCCAACTTATGGACGAAAACTCGTGACTGGTTTTCTGAGATCGAATGGTTACAACCTTGGTGAAAGAAGTGTGAGAATTTCATTACTCGACATTTCTCCATTTTATGTAGCACAGCGTAGAGCTGGCGTTGAAAGAAATACTAACCCATCTGCATATTATGCAGAGTACGCCGGACATAAGTTACACATGGTCAAAATGAAAAACTTACAGAATTTTGAGTCACAAAGGTTTTGGCAAGCGATGGGTTTAGTTGAAAAATTACCGCATTTGCTCTTATGCCGTTCAAGAACAATCTCTTAATATATGATAATGTATACAAATCAAAATGCTTGAAGCATGGTTTGTTTGATCAAATATAGCTATAGTGATTGCTTTACGCCGGTGTAAATGGTTATCAAAGTTGTGCGATTATGCATGTTATATTCTCGGTAAATACTCATGGTATACCCTGATAATTGGTCTATATCGAATCATCTGAAGGTGAAGATGTCAGTCTAACACCTGTCACCCGATCCTAACCTCAATTGCACTGTACACTGACTAGGTTAATAATCAGTATTATGTCATTTTCTCAGAAACTGTACATGTTAGGTTTAGTTATATTTATCTGGTTGAGGTATCTGATTGTATTAAAATAGACGGGATATATGCCAAAAATAGGGACCTATATATCTAAACTCATAAGCAATGGTCTTAACATGTGTCAACCGCCTTTAATCTCAATTTCACAGGCCATTGATCATGTTCAGTTTTCGAGATATTTATATATTTAGATACCGTAACTATAGGCAATACATATTTGGTGTATGGAATAAATTAAACAGGCAAAACATTTCAGAGAATGCACTCTCATTTTCTTGTACATTTGTTTTATGTCAACCAACAGAAACATGTACTAGTATATAAAGCAATATAATATTTAGATATAAAAGTTACTTGTATTACTAAAATAAACCGTACATTATTGTGCTTTTACACCACAGATTAGGGTTTGTGTAGTGCGCTCCAAAACACGATGAACTCAGCCATATTCTTTATGTGCCTGTCACAATTTCAGGAGCATGAAGTTCAGTGGTTCATGTCTGTCATATTTTTTTCCGTAAAATGGTTTGTTATTAATTAGGATGTTAGTTTTTTCCCCATTGTTAAAGGCCATACCGATGCTTATAACTGCTTGCATCCACATCATTTGAACTTTGGTGGATAGTTGTGTCATTGGTAATCATTTTGTATCTCCTTATTTTTATTTTATTATGGGTTATAAACGTAGATGTTTGCATTTATATGGGTTTATTTCAAACTAGAGTATTTTCTTCACAAATACGGACGAATAACATCGCCGGAAATTCTTTTATAGAATCTACATGTACATATCCCTATTTCAACTGGCACTTAACTCAATTAGTCGCTTAGCTTCATAAGAGTCATATTGAAAATAAAAAAAAATTGCTCCGGTTTAGTCCACACTATATTTAGTTTTTTTTCCTTAAATGTCCAGTTTTTTTTTCTTCAGGGAATAAACAACGTACCATTGGGTTTGATTGCATGTTCTTTGGATGCATACGTCTGAAAAGTAATAAATGCAGGGAAAGCAATTTCGACATACGAGTTCGAATCGAAGGACATTACGAATACACCGAAATCTGCTTCTCACCTGCATGGTTATCTCAAAGTTGGTGCAATTTTCTTTTTGGGGGAGGGGGGATACGAATGACAAACTCATAGACTTGAGTTTTCCAAGTCATGCAACTTCCCGTTCTTATGTAACATTACAGCAGCTTCGGCTAATTGCGTTTATAACTCTTAGCTTCAATAATTTTCCCTCATTCATCTTAAAAGTATTGATCCTTTATATAGGTTGTAATGAGTTACATCAATGGAACATCAAATAAGTAATTTCTAGGGAACGTCCTAAAAAAACGCAGTTATGTTCAACACAACTAGATTTACATTATGTTCAAAATGTACTACAGGTTCATAAAATTTTAACCAAAAAACAAGTGAAACTACAAGCTACTGCTCACCAGCCCAAATACCTGACGGTCAACAGGAAGTTGTTGAGTGATGAATCTGGAAACGCATCTCAAGGTAAAGCTAACATATATAATCCTAAAACCAAATTTCAGAAATCATTATGATGTAGTTTCTGAGAAAGACGCGATGAAAAATATTCATGGGACTGACGGATGGACGGACAGACGGATTGGTGGACGGATGGACGGAGGTAAAATTTTCAACTTAGATGTCATTTGTAAAATGATGTAAGTGTTCGGTACACAGGATGTTGCTGAGTGCATGATGAATCTGAAAACGTATCACACGGTATAACTGACTTAATATATAAACCCTTAAACCAAATTTCAGAAATCCTTGTAATGTATTTCGTATCCCGAGAAAGATGCAACGAAAAATATTCATGGGACGGACGGACAGACAGAGGTAAAACAGTATACCCTCACTTTTTTTTAAAGCGGGGACGGGTATAAAAACAATTTTCAAAATTAATGTTGGTGAAAAGAAGTTTTGCCTAATGTTGAGCATATATTGGTGAAGATCACTTAGACCTAAATTTTGCTTGATTAATTTTGTTGATATTCAGACCCAACTGCAGTTTCTCTCTGTTAATATAGATAGTATAATGATTCAGACTTCAGTGTATCTAGTATGCTAAGATAGCATAATCACAAACATCCAGTTAAAAGTAGGTCACTGTTACTCAAAAAGTTTTTTTTCTTCGACAAATGTATTTTGGGAGAGAGTGGATGATTACCTATCTGTATTATAGTGGTCAAAGTTTTATTTTCAATCACAAACTTCAATAGGACTACGAATTTACAAAGTTAGTTTAAATTCATTAAAAATTCTGAAACAGATAAAAAAAAAAGAAAGGTACAGAGACGACGGACATCTGATGTTGACAAAAGCTCACATGGATTTGTAAGAAAGAATTAGAAAAAAATCAAAATTCATCGGAACATCAAAATTCTCCAAAACAAATGCAAATGTTTAGTATATTTTGAACCACGGTTACAACATAATTGCTGCAACTTTCAGGTTTATTGTCTCCTGAACTCAATTGATGCAGTTTTTTTATGACTATGCAACATGTGTACAATTTGAGTTGAAATCAAGTCAAGTAACATACTGAAAAGCAATTGTTATCGTTCGTCCGTTCACCCATCTTTCATCATATTAAGAAGTCCCATTCTTCGTTTGGGAGAGCCAGACTTAAAATTTCAACTCTTAATTGAAGTATTTGAAAAATTAATATTACAATTGAACATTTTCAGACCGGAACTTATCTATAACCATTTTTGTATCTTTCAGCTCAACTTTATTAACTTACTGTTCAAA